GATTTAGGGACAGATATATTAATGAAAAGAAATTCATATTTTGGCAAAATTTCATCAAAAATGGAAGGCTATAACCCCCTTGCAATTTTTATCAATTTTGGTCAAAAAATGAAATTGCTCTAAACTTCCTGGAAAGACTCCTAAGGGGTCCTCCAACACATTCCAACTCGTTTTATGGACGGATATATCAATAAAAAGAAATTCATATTTTGACAATTTTTTTATCGAAAATGTAAGGCTAACCCATTGCAATTTTTGTCACTTTTGGTCAAAAAATAAAAATTGCTCCAAACTTCCTGGAGTCATAAATGATCCTCGAACATATTCCAACTCGATTTAGGGACAGATATATTAATGAAAAGAAATTCATATTTTGGCAAAATTTCATCAAAAATGGAAGGCTATAACCCCCTTGCAATTTTTGTCAATTTTGGTCAAAAAATGAAATTGTTCCAAACTTCCTGGAAAGACTCCTAAGGGGTCCTCGAACATATTCTCACTCGTTTTAGGGACAGATATATCAATAAAAAGAAATTCATATTTTGCCAAAATTTCATCAAAAATGTAAGGCTAACCCCCTTGCAATTTTTGTCAATTTTGGTCAAAAAATGGAATTGCTCTAAACTTCCTGGAAAGACTCCTAAAGGGTCCTTGAACATATTTCAACTCGATTTAGGGACATATATATCAATAAAAAGAAATTCATATTTTGGCCAAATTTCATCAAAAATGTAAGGCTAACCCCTTGCAATTTTTATCAATTTTGACCAAAAAATGAAATTGCTCCAAACTTCCTGGAAAGACTCCTAAGGGGTCCTCCAACACATTCCAACTCGTTTTATGGACGGATATAGCAATAAAAAGAAATTCATATTTTGACAAATTTTTATCGAAAATGTAAGGCTAACCCATTGCAATTTTTGTCACTTTTGGTCAAAAAATAAAAATGCTCCAAACTTCCTGGAGTCATAAATGATCCTCGAACATATTCCAACTCGATTTAGGGACGGATATATTAATGAAAAGAAATTCATATTTTGGCAAAATTTCATCAAAAATGGAAGGCTATAACCCCCTTGCAATTTTTGTCAATTTTGGTCAAAAAATGAAATTGTTCCAAACTTCCTGGAAAGACTCCTAAGGGGTCCTCGAACATATTCCCACTCGTTTTAGGGACAGATATATCAATAAAAAGAAATTCATATTTTGACAAATTTTTATCGAAAATGTAAGGCTAACCCATTGCAATTTTTGTCACTTTTGGTCAAAAAATAAAAATTGTTCCAAACTTCCTGGAGTCATAAATGATCCTCGAACATATTCCAACTCGATTTAGGGACAGATATATTAATGAAAAGAAATTCATATTTTGGCCAAATTTCATCAAAAATGTAAGGCTTACCCTTTGCAATTTTTGGCAATTTTGGTCAAAAAATGAAATTGCTCTAAACTTCCTAGAACGACTCATAAGGGGTCCTCGAACATATTCCCACTCGGTTTAGGGACATATATATCAATAACAAGAAATTCATATTTTGCCAAAATTTCATCAAAAATGTAAGGTTTTTGGCAATTTTGGTCAAAAAATGAAATTGCTCTAAACTTCCTGAAAAGACTCCTAAGGGGTCCTCGAACATATTTCCACTCGATTAAGGGACATACATATCAATAAGAAGAAATTCATATTTTGGCAAAATTTCATCAAAAATGTAAGGCTATAACCCCCTTGCAATTTTTGTCAATTTTGGTAAAAAAATGAAATTGCTCCAAACTTCCTGGAAAGACTCCTAAGGGGTCCACGAACACATTGCAACTCGTTTTAGGGACAGATATATCAATGAAAAGAGTTCATATTTTGGCCAAATTTCATCAAAAATGTAAGGCTAACCCCTTGCAATTTTTGTCACTTTTGGTCAAAAAATGAAATTGCTCTAAATTTCCTGGAAAGACTCCTAAGGGGTCCACGAACACATTCCAACTCGTTTTAGGGACAGATATATCAATGAAAAGAGTTCATATTTTGGCCAAATTTCATCAAAAATGTAAGGCTAACCCCTTGCAATTTTTGTCACTTTTGGTCAAAAAATGAAATTGCTCTAAATTTCCTGGAGAGAGTCCTAAGGGGTCCTCGAACACACTCCAATTCGTTTTAGGGGCAGATATATCAATGAAAAGAAGTTCATATTTTGGCCAAATTTCATCAAAAATGTAAGGCTTACCCTTTGCAATTTTTGGCAATTTTGGTCAAAAAATGAAATTGCTCTAAACTTCCTAGAACGACTCCTAAGGGGTCCTCGAACATATTCCCACTCGGTTTAGGGACATATATATCAATAACAAGAAATTCATATTTTGCCAAAATTTCATCAAAAATGTAAGTATACCCCTTGCAATTTTTGGCAATTTTGGTCAAAAAATGAAATTGCTCTAAACTTCCTGAAAAGACTCCTAAGGGGTCCTCGAACATATTTCCACTCGATTAAGGGACATACATATAAATGAAAAGAAATTCATATTTTGGCCAAATTTCATCAAAAATGTAAGGCTAACCCCTTGCAATTTTTGTCAATTTTGGTCAAAAAATGAAATTGCTCCAAACTTCCTGGAAAGAGTCGTAAGGGGTCCTCGAACACACTCCAATTCGTTTTAGGGGCAGATATATCAATGAAAAGAAGTTCATATTTTGGCCAAATTTCATCAAAAATGTAAGGCTTACCCTTTGCAATTTTTGGCAATTTTGGTCAAAAAAGGAAATTGCTCTAAACTTCCTAGAACGACTCCTAAGGGGTCCTCGAACATATTCCCACTCGGTTTAGGGACATATATATCAATAACAAGAAATTCATATTTTGCCAAAATTTCATCAAAAATGTAAGTATACCCCTTGCAATTTTTGGCAATTTTGGTCAAAAAATGAAATTGCTCTAAACTTCCTGAAAAGACTCCTAAGGGGTCCTCGAACATATTTCCACTCGATTAAGGGACATACATATCAATAAAAAGAAATTCATATTTTGGCAAAATTTCATCAAAAATGTAAGGCTATAACCCCCTAGCAATTTTTGTCAATTTTGGTCCAAAAATGAAATTGCTCCAAACTTCCTGGAAAGACTCCTAAAGGGTCCACGAACACATTGCAACTCGTTTTAGGGACAGATATATCAATGAAAAGAGTTCATATTTTGGCCAAATTTCATCAAAAATGTAAGGCTAACCCCTTGCAATTTGTGTCACTTTTGGTCAAAAAATGAAATTGCTCTAAATTTCCTGGAAAGAGTCCTAAGGGGTCCTCGAACACACTCCAATTCGTTTAAGGGACAGATATATCAATGAAAAGAAGTTCATATTTTGCCAAAATTTCATCAAAGATATAAGGCTAACCCCTTGCAATTTTTGTCAATTTAGGTCAAAAAATGAAATTGCTCTAAATTTCCTGGAAAGAGTCCTAAGGGGTCCTCGAACACACTCCAATTCGTTTTAGGGACAAATATATCAATGAAAAGAAGTTCATATTTTGGCCAAATTTCATCAAAAATGTAAGGCTTACCCTTTGCAATTTTTGGCAATTTTGGTCAAAAAATGAAATTGCTCTAAACTTCCTAGAAAGAGTCCTAAGGGGTCCTCGAACACACTCCAATTCGTTTAAGGGACAGATATATCAATGAAAAGAAGTTCATATTTTGCCAAAATTTCATCAAAGATATAAGGCTAACCCCTTGCAATTTTTGTCAATTTAGGTCAAAAAATGAAATTGCTCTAAATTTCCTGGAAAGAGTCCTAAGGGGTCCTCGAACACACTCCAATTCGTTTTAGGGACAAATATATCAATGAAAAGAAGTTCATATTTTGGCCAAATTTCATCAAAAATGTGAGGCTAACCCCTTGCACTTTTTATCAATTTTGGCCAAAAAATGAAATTGCTCCAATTTTTTTTGGAAAGACTCCTAAGGGGTCCTCGAACACATTGCAACTCAATTTAGGGACATATATATCAATAAAAAGAACTTCACATTTTGACCAATTTTTATCGAAATTTGTAAGGCTAACCCCTTGCAATTTTTGTCAATTTTGGTCAAAAAAATGAAATTGCTCTAAATTTCCTTGAAGAAGTCGTAAGGGGTCCTCGAACACACTCCAATTCCTTTTAGGGACAGATATATCAATTAAAAGAAGTTCATATTTTGGCCAAATTTCATCAAAAATGTAAGGCTTACCCTTTGCAATTTTTGGCAATTTTGGTCAAAAAATGAAATTGCTCTAAACTTCCTGGAAAGACTCCTAAGGGGTCCTCGAACACATTGCAACTCGATTTACCGACATATATATCAATAACAAGAAATTCATATTTTAGCAATTTTTTTTCGAAAATGTAAGGCTAACCCCTTGCAATTTCAAAAATGAAATTGCTCTAAATTTCCTGGAAAGAGTCTTAAGGGGTCCTCGAACACACTCCGATTCGTTTTAGGGACAGATATATCAATGAAAAGAAGTTCATATTTTGCCAAAATTTCATCAAAAATGTAAGGCTTACCCCTTGCAATTTTTGTCACTTTTGGTCAAATAATTAAATTGCTCGAAACTTCCTGGAAAGAGACCTAAGGGGTCCTCGAACACACTCCAATTCGTTTTAGGGACAGATACATCAATGAAAAGAAGTTCATATTTTGACCAATTTTTATCGAAAATGTAAGGTTTACCCTTTGCAATTTTTGGCAATTTTGGTCAAAAAATGAAATTGCTCTAAACTTCCTTGAAAAACTCCTAAGGGGGTCCTCGAACATATTTCCACTCGATTAAGGAACAGATAAATCAATAAAAATAAAATTCATATTTTGGCCAAATTTCATCAAAAATGTAAGGCTAACCCATTGCAATTTTTGTCAATTTTGGTCAAAAAAAATGATGGAAAGATTAGAATGTTATTGGAAGCTGTAACTTTGACGAGTCAACACAAATCTCAAAAGGACAACTCAAAGGATAAGCACGAAACATAACGTGGATGTGTTTGAAATAATATTTACAAGGAGCAGTAGCTTTATTTCACGGTTAAGAAGTTTTCCCAAGCTCAGAAAATTTGATTACACGATAACATATTAATGCAACAAAGAAAACAATAATGAACTGATCAATAATATGCATGTACATACAGAGTCTTGTTTACTTCAGAATCAACTGAAAATCAAATTAATTATGATTAGTACACCAATATATTGGTTGTTTTTTTTAATCCTGGCAGTGTTTAGCATATACTCGCCATCGTGCATTATTAAATATACAAAACAAAATATATCACTTTCGCTTCTCTTGCATTTTACACTTAACTCCAAAAAGTACTTTTGACTTTAATATGTATTTTGTATACGTCATAAATATAACTGGTCAACTTGAGTACACAGAGCTTGTATTAATGTTCAGAACAACAATCTTGTAAGTAAAGTTTGACGCTGAAAACGTCAAAACAAATTGACATGTTACAATTTCTGGCAGCATTTTACAAAAAAAAAGAACAATTTTGAAGACACTTATTTCTAATAAGGATATGGACCAGTGGTATTAAAAAAAAAAAACATGACAGTTGCAATAAGCAAACGATAGAAGCTTGACCAGCAATGCACTTCTCATTGTGAAGGCATTTCCACAACTGAACACAGAGTATTTTGGCATTTCCTTTTTTTTTTGTCAAGGGGGAAGCATGTTAAAGCATTTTTTTATTGCAGAATTTACATCACAAAAGAGATGGACACCGAAAAAGTAAGCTGACGTGTTTTACATCATACAGGATTTTCATGGTACTTTCTACATGGCAAATGTGCAAAAGAAACAAAGGCCATGTGCACAAATGATATGCTTCCCCCTCCCCCTTTCCCCACCACTTTTAGAGAGAAAAAAATTCAGAAAATTGTTAATATTTTGAGATTAAATATTACCAGGGGAACTTCTTCAAGAAAGACAAAATGTTCTCTACGATAATGAATTCAAGTGGATAAGGATAAGTACTGGGTATCATTTTCTTCCCTGCAGGTATGCTTTCATCCAAAAAGATTTGAACACAGCTCTAACTTTTTTCTTAGTTCTGCGATGCCCTAACAGCAAGCAAATAGTACTTTCAAAAATCATTCCTTAATATACACTTAATTAATACTGCTCAGGCCTTTAAGACCAATTAAAGCGAAACACAAAAACAGTTCTGATTCAAGCAAATACAATTAAACGCTCATTAAGACATGAAATAAATTACAAAAGGAAATATACAACAAACAAACAAAAAAATATGTATATCGATGCTTCAAAATTTGCATATCCTGAGCTTATTACACTTTCCTGTGACTTCTTGAACTGTTTTCCCAAATCTGCAACTGATCAAAAATTCTTTAGAAAAAAATCTGTTTGTGGCTTTGTACGTTTGATGATATATCTCCATTCATCGAAATGTTTAATTCCAAGAAAACAATATCCAGTTGTTTCTTTCTGATGTTTCCTTCCTTGGAAAAAAAAAATCTTTATTAAAACATATTTTCAGCTAAACATTAAAACACTAGCCATTATCATTAGCTATAAGGCTGAAATGCCCTTTTCATAATCAAAATATGTAGTGAAGACATCTGCCACTGCACATTAAGTAAAAGTTACTCGATTCAGAAAAAAAAAAACAAGTTTTGTTTTTTACCCTAAAACACTGATAAGCATTGCGCTTTACTAAAACAAAACAAAAATAACCACTTGGATATGTAATAATGCACAGTTTCTGATAAAAAAATATGGTGGCATACCACATAAACACAAAGATTAGAGTTTATGCACACATGAATCCACATATTATTGAATTTAAAAAAAATATTAAAACATTCACAAATAATTTGTGCTTTGAAGACAACACATTTCTACTTTAATGGTGTGCATTACATGGCATGCGTTGCCCAATTCTAGATATGTCATTGATATTAAAGGTCACATGATTATGGATAATTTGGCAGGTTTTTTTTTCCAGTTTTTATGTTTTTACCAAGATAGAAATGGATCAGGCTTTCACTTGATTTGTGTACTTTTCCTGTGTTTCTCTCTGATATGTTAAGCGTATAATGCTGCCTCATGCTTCAAAACATGAATCAATGCAACTTCAGCTAAACACTGCACCATCAGATAACGAATTGGGCTCAACTTGGCTGCCGACAAATTTAAACAGACTGCAATTTCTCACGAAACCATACACCTAAAAAATATACTTGTATCTAATGAAGCAAGTCCACAAATATCATAGAGATTCCTGCAACTAGTCTGGTGCCAACAACCCATGCATTAGCAACCCACCTGTGGGCACTGGGCACTATTCCAAGATGGCTGTAGCTTAGTCAATAACAATTTAGGTTTTTTCCCTTTTGTTTTCCGTCCCTGGAGATCCTGCTTTATTGTGGTAACCTTTCCAGACAAAGTCCTATACACAGCTGTGCAGTTTTTGAAAAGCGAACTTATATGAATGCACTCTACACTTCCAAAATTTTTATGCTTGCTAATTACATGCCTAAATATTCCAATTACATACAGATTAAAAAAACTTTAAAATATACATACATAGGTTATAAAGGAAGCATTATATTCAAAAATATTTTAAAACAAAAATGACCTTTTCTACACACAAGTATTTTGCTAAGTAAAACGATTCAGCAAAAACTAAATGAAATTGCTTCGTTTTTTTTCCATGACTCGCTCATCATTTTGCCAAAAAAGAAAAAGCAAATTGACAAAATCATATTGCAACAAATTTCACATTGTCGTTTTTCATGAATTATGCAGAACACGTTTTAAAAATAAATCCAGCCCTTGCACAGACCATGCTTCTCCAAGTGTTTCAAAGAAAAGTTGAGTTGATCAAAAAGGTTTCTTTACTTTGCCCTTGTTGAAAAAATTACAAAAAGTCATGCATTAAGAGTTGTTCTGTACATAATCACAGTAAAATTTAAGCATCTAATATTTTGGCCAGCATATAAACTTAAATTCAACACAGCCCAACCCCTTTAGATAAAAAAAGAATTCCATATTCTCTAATAATAGTACCATAAAAAGTTGGTCAACTTCTCGGGAAAAAAAGACACTTCTGTGTCTTGTCAAATATACTACAACACTGCACACAGAATTTGTTTAATGTTTCACGATATCTAAAACATAAAAATTGCAATGGACAATATATATACATATGTGGCACAAATATTGCACCAGTTAAAAAAAGAACCACTAAAAGGTACGCACTCTGGCCAATAAGCCAGTGCGGTATTTGAACTGCGCATGCATGCAATGATACGAGTCAAGCTCAGCGAAGGCGCATGAACGCGCAAGGAAACGGTCACACAACGCAAAATGGGCGTTGACGTAACATCGCGGTTACAAGACGCTTCCATTTTATCCCGAATTACCTTTGACTTCGACTACTACGTCGAGATACCAAACTGGCTTATTTTTGGGGAAAAAAACCTGCTTGAAAAAAAAAAAAAAAAAAAACCTGCTTCAGGTCCATTTTTATATATTTTTAGCCAGTATCATGGGTGCAGTGTTTTCGGGGGAATGAACGGTAATTTTCTCCTCGGTAGCTTAATATAAACCAACTCATGAGATATTTTGTGAAGGATCAATTTCACAGTCTAATCTAACAAACAACTTGTTTTATAACGTCATTTTTAAATGCAAATAAAAAATTTAAGTTATTGGTGAAAATCAGCACAGTGTTCATGTTTACAAATACTCTGTAAAACCGATCACTTTTCAACTTACATACTACACTTTACCTGCGGACACTGGGACCATTTTAAATCACCACTCTGGTATTTTACAACATAAAAAAACTGGATTACTTCAAAACATTCGTAAAAATCTGCCTGGATAAATGGCGAACTCAATTTGCAATATTAAAACGTTACGCAGCTTTGTTTGCTTTGACCATCTTGGTCTGGAAACCTTGACTCCCGGCAAGGCAACTCAGTGCGATTTGATTTGGAAGCTGGTCAACTCGTAAAGTCCAACCTGACCTGACTGCCTGGCATATCGTCCCTTGCCGCACATCTGTTAATCCGCGTACTGACGGCAGTTCATATGTCCTGCATATAGGCACTGAGAAGAAGTCAGTGTTTGGCAGTTTCAATCTTCCAAAGCGTTTTGTACAGCATTTACAGAAACCCTCCTGGGTTTTCAAGCGACATATCCACAGTCACTGTGTCCGCGCCACCCTCTATTTAAAATATAGTCTCTCCTCTAGCGCCCATAAAAAAAATACAAGCTTTCAGTACTGTTTTTTTCCTCGGTTCGGCTGCCATAAGCAGTACTGCATTGCATATAAGAGTACATTCATCCTTTGAAAAATATAAACACGACTCCTGCACTATCGCGGTTCTAAGTAAGTCTTAGATACTGGTCTCGCCTCGGACACCTGGTACTTCACTATTGATGTAATCATGCTCCACTTCGTTGTCGCTGGCGGCACCAGACAGCCTGACGCCCACGCTGCTGCTACCGTTGCTGCGTAGGGAGCTTCCAGGGCGACTGCTGGAGTGACTTGGCGAGTACAGAGGTCTGGGCTGCTCGCCAGCCAGCAGAGGCTGATTGTGGCCCATCTGCTCCTCGTTCATGTACCTGGGGTCTTCCTCCTGGCCCTGGGTCTTCCAGGGGTTGCCTGGAATGACCGGAGGGGAGGCGGGGTTTAGCAAGGCATGGTACTCCAAGTTGTCCACGCCCACGCCAGTGGGCGGAGGTGACGTAGTGGGGGGAGGGGGAGGTCCCGACGTGCTGGTGTTCAGGGGAAGGTAGCTGTTGTCCTCGGCCAGTGGTGGGCTGTTGAACTTGGGATCGTTCTGGTACTGAGGCTCCTCAAAGAGTGCTGAGGGTGAAGCACACATAAACAGTACTCAAACAACAAGGAATCTCAGCCAATCATCTTGTCAAATGCCTTCTTATCACCGCTATGCCCATGAAAACTCGCCCATGAAAACGGGCGACTTGCCTGCAATTCAGGTGACAGGTGATGTAGTGGGCGACGCAAAGCCTTGAAATTTAACATTTATTATTACACCAAAGCTGATGAGCCGTTTGTAATTAGTGCTTGTATTTGTTACTAATTTCTGGCTTTTATTTTTGAATTTCATTGAGCTCAACCTCTGCAAGATAGTTTTGAAGCAATAAACCATGAACCATTATCTGTTTGTTGTTGCTTTATAAACCGCAGTGTTTTCAATAACAACCCACAATCAATTTAAAATGAAAACACTATTGAATATTCTATTCAATCACAAAAACCTTTGCTCTACTGGGACTCGTCCCAACATTTTTTTTCACAAGGGGAAATTAAAACCTTTCAGGAGAGGGATATCAATTTTACACTTTTCGAATTTGTTAAACGTTTTGAAAAACTCAATGCTCGTTTCTTTTTTATTCTTGGACTTATTTTTTTTTTGGGGGGGGGGGGAGGGGGAGAATGAACAATTGTTTTCTTTCATGTCAATCAATGATGTTGATCAGAAAACACCTCTCATTATTTTGCTTCCCTTTTCTAAAATTTCATAACATAACTATTATGGAACTACCTTTATCTACACTATTTAAAGGGAATATACAACATTTGCAAACATCGAAAAATAAAACTACCAAGTTTTTACGAAATACCTTACTAGGATGTTGGTAAATGACAGTCTAAAACATCCTGTAAAATTATTGCACCTGGTGTGAAGTCATTTCCAAGAAAATGGTATTTTTGCATACATTTCCAACAATGGTCGGCCGACCACCGTTGGAAAAACCTAACTATTTTTCAACTACTGCTCCAAATTTACAATTTTTTTCAGTCCAAATATTGTTTGCTATTGGTTACATATCCATGAACGGGTGCAGGCCAGCTACAACTGGTTCCCTTACCTTACAATTTTCCGGCATCTATAAATTGATCCATTTCATCTTTAGTGGAGTCAGGGAACCAGACTACTAGAACATTTGTTTTTCTTGGTTTTTCCAGCATTTTCGAACACCAAACATTAAACATGACAGTGTAACAATATTTGATCTATTATACTAACCCCTCAAATAGTTAATTTCTGAAAATTACAGCAAAAGCCAAGGATGTACATTAAATACAATGACTGAATAAGAATCATGGTAGGCTTGGCTAGCTTACGCTTGTCTTTGGTGAGATCGTGGTAGTCAGCTTTGATGCTTGGCGTCAGGTAATCCTCGTCGTCAATCTGGACAGCTGTAGCGCCATCTATCCAGAATATGGAGATCAAATCAATAAATCATTACCATCAATTAGTGAATAACATTCAACCAAATAATGAAATGTGGCCCTCAGTACAAAGCCAGGCATAAGTCGTCCGACAAATCTATCACTCTGCATCTCAAAATACGGCCTGTAATACATTGTCACGGCAAAAAATTTTCCAAATTTAGATTTAGCCCTTAGAAGCTAGAAGAATGAATATATTTCACTTCCTAGGAAGTTAATTTGTAAATTTCCTATTGAAGGAGATCATCTGGGAAACATTAATACTAAACTTTCTGAAGCCCAAAAATGGGGAACTGAAATGCCTATAACCTCGGTCAGATTTTGTCCGATTTCCATATTCCATGAATCACTGGAAAGAAAATTGGTCCAAGTGACTAGTTTTGCACGGGAGGGTCACATAGATGATAGAGAGACACGACAAACCCAAGAGCAATATTATACTCAAAAAGAATATCTTGTTAAGGCCAACAAAAAAAAAGTCTCCGGTTTCTGGTATGGAGCTTCCCCAAAAAGTGGTGCGGCGACGCGGCTTTTTTTTTTTTTTTACCTGTCCTTTTTGCTTCAAATGTCGGCTGATGACTGCACATGGTGCCCGACTAAACTTAGTGCCAATATATGGGAGTGCGGAGAGGCCACATAAAGCTTATTCTCGATCATAACCCCATCTAAAAACACGTTGAAATTGTGCAGCAGCAGAATTCCAGTCAAACCAGTGAGTTTGGCGGTTTTGAGACATCATCTTTTATTGAAAAAAAAACTTTTTCATTTTGTCGACGCGCATGGCTACGGCGACGCGCGCGCATACCAGAAACCGGAGACTTTTTTTTTGGCCTAAGGGCTTGAGTTTTGAATTTCAAAAAAGTAAATGTGAGTCTGTTGGCTACGGCGTCTCCGGCACAAAATCTGGGTCCAAGACAGGTTAAAGTTTTTGTCTCATCCGTCAAATTGCCTGTCCATTTTATATCGAGTCTTATGAGTTAAAGGAAAAATAAATCTCTTCTTCAGTCAGATATAAGGCCACTTCTATGAAGCTGCAAGTCGAAGAAGTTTTCTAAGCACAGAAAAGCAGATGTTTGGCAAAAACCGGTTACCGTCCAAACTGTCATGCAATAATTCACTCTCTATGACTGGTTCCCTGCTCATTTTTGCTAGACACATAAATTTGCTAAGCGAAATTTTTCTGCTTCAAATTTGTCAAATTTTCTGCTACACAATTACAAATGTAGCTGAGTGATTTTTTCTGATTAACAGCTCCACAACGTTGCGCTCAAAATGTCTTACCGTTGCTGTTGTTGCTTCGTTGTCTCTCCAGCTGCATGGCATGGACAGGATCCGGAGCGTACCGCATGGAACTGTCCTTGCGGGCCGGGCTAGCCTTGGCTGGCGGGGAGCTGAGGGAGTACGGGAAGGTCGGGGACATGACAGGGTTACCGGCAACGAAGTCCGCTCCGCTCGTCTGTATGAAGTGAAGCAAACAGATAGACTATTTACGTGATGGAACATGGCTTGGGGAAATGTTGGTCTGGGGATTGGGAGTATTATCTTCAAAGCAACTTGTATATCTTTGATCCTAATTGGTCGATCCACGGCAACAACAAAGTGTGATATTTAACAATTGTTGTCTGCTGTGATGTGCCGACCCCAGGGGTTTCAAAACGGCATATTCCACATCACAGCAGTCAACGATTGTGAGAAACAGATTGCGATGTAACCTTTGATTACTGAAGGTTTTGACGTCCTGCCAGACATGAGACTGAGCGGTTGGCGCTGCAGTTCTCATTGCGCGAAGCTAGCGCTTTGGAAGGTTCCACACGCGCACTATGACTTGGCTGCTCTAGACCAATGAAAATACAGTATCCAAGCACACGAAATATCAATTCCCATATAATATACCACAGTCCATATTGCATTTGGAATATCACACTATTCTAAGATGCGGACGCTATTCCTGCCACACACACGTGTACTGGATGACCACTGAAAAGTTCCAACAGTGTGCGCGTTCCATCTTTGCTGTGCATCTAGAATGCGTGAAGATTCTTTATCCCACTCTTGCTCATGGAACAGCTCGTGGGTTTATATTCCATATACCACTCAGCCTTCAGCCTTCAGCCTGCGTGGCATATGGGACGCACACCCTCTACCTTGTTTCCGTGTTCCGCTCGCGCTCGTGGGGTAACTAATATTACCTATCCCTAATTTCAGCTCTGTGTTTGGAAAGGGGAACTGATAACATTAATTTTGAGTGGCAGCGTGGATTGCACGTCATGCAAAAATCTTCCACATGATTAAACAAAAAAAATTGGGAAACCCCCCCCCCCCCATAAAAAGGGGGGGGGGGGGGGTAGGCCATCAGCCTTGGGATTTGGCCAGTATCAAATCAGGGCATAAATGATTATAGTGCGCATGCGCAAGGTATACCGCCCCTAGAGTGGTAACAAGCATTTTGATGGACATTTGGGAAAAAAAGGATGATAACACCTAAAAAGCTGCCACCGCTGCAATGCTATCACATATTTTCCAACTCTGGAGGTGTATACCTTGCCAAAAATCGCTATGACGATTATTCCCCTGATTTGATACCGGTGGCAAAAATGTTGGACCGAGGCTGATGGGCGGGGGGGATAACCCCAAGATAAAAAAAGCTCTGTTAACAGACCCTGGGGAAGAATTCATTCGGAGGCTGTCTGTGCTCCTTGTTGTTCAGGCTCATGGGTTGCAGATACTCGTCGGCGTCCATGAAGAGATCGGTGTTCTTGGAACCGTCTATCTCATCGTTGATCAAGGATTTGTAGAAGTCGCTGGGGACGGGGCTGGGCAGGCCGGCCAGGGTGCCGTCCCCATCATTCTGTAAACAAAAGTGGACAATAACAGTGAATGATGGTTCCGATTTTAAGTATGGTTTAAACAGAACAAGCCCATGCCATTTCCCACCACTCTTCCTCCCGACAAACACAAAACATTATGTACTTGAGGGAAATAACTTGACAGTTGTCACAACTCTTCACCTCACAGTCTGCAGTTAACACTTACCTGCAGGACCAGATACCGTTTTGGATCCTTGGCCATCCGGCCCAGCTCATCAGACATCTGCTTGAAAGAAGGCCGGCTTTCTTCATCCAACATCCAACCTTCAATCAAACACAAGCAGACAAAAAAAGGGTTTCCATCATCACTAATATATACCAAACAAAATAATATACAAAAATGGAACGTACCAAGCAGCAGTAGGGTGACCCTCACCACCCAATATTCAAGCACGTCCTAGCACCAAAGAGGTTAAAATCTAAAAATAGCTTCCGTATGCAGCTCAACCCCTGGATGACAACCCCCGCAGCTGTAGCATAGACGCTTGGAAGACACAACTTCAATCAAAATCCCACACACTGGCACTAGACCCTGTGGAGACTTTTCTAGTGGGAGCGAAAGAGACATAGCCTGTTTGGCTCTGCCTCAACCGCCTCAGAACAGGGGTTGGACGGTGCAAAGCCCTCATGCAGAAGTGGGGGTACAACCACGATGGATTAACCGATTGTGACTGCGGGGAGGCACCCCAAACTATGGAGCACGTCCTAAACTACCCCCTCCTACCAGAGCCCTGCAAACCAGAGGATCTCAAGGACTTCAATCTGTATGCCAGAGCCTGTGTTATGCAGTGGCTAGGAAAAGTGTAGCGACACGACGACAACAACCAAATATCAAGCATCACCAACCGTCTGCATGTGTCACCATTTGATCTTGTTAATTTCAATAAAACATGTTTAAACAAAGCCTGCGTCATCAAGCCTCTCACAATGGCAAAGGAATGTCCTAGTCACAGAGTACTACAACTGCATGACGATAATAACTGCATGACTTGTGATGACCTGTGATAGCTTGTGATTACTTATGATGGCTTGTGATGGCTTGTGATGACTAGTGATGACTTGTGATGGCATGAAATAACTTGTCTTTACTTGATTACAAATCTCCAAAAAGCAATGAACCCAATGGTTGGATATGTCATCAACAGACTTTGTGCATTGGTACCCCAATAACGGTTACAAAGGGAAAGCTGGGGGGGGGGGGCAGTTGGAAGGACTCGTGAGCACTAAGCCGACGGCGCCTCACATCCACATGAAGAAGACACGCATAACCCCCGAGGACCGACACACAAAGGGAAAACAACAGATCTGTTCAGTACTCGGGCGTTGGGTCTTTTGTTCAAAACAGTCCTCTGTAGTAGGTCTGTGTGCTTAGTCTATGGGAGAGTGTCATATAACAGGGACAAAGGGAAACACAAAGCATTGTCCTCGGAAGTATAGTAAAACAAGAGTGTGTGAACATTCAGAATAAAATCAGTCATCTGTATTTTGTGCACAATGCACGTGAACAAGTGCACACTTGCTATGTGTTCCTCAACAAGGACTTGATTCTCCTGAGCGATAATGAGGCGGCATCTATGATTCATGCACAGATTCAATTAGGGTTGATCTTTGACACTGTGACTCACATTTGACCATGAGCATGTAGACGTCGATGGTGGAGATCTGGGGCTGGGGCAGTCTCTCGCCTTTCTCCAGGAGGTCCGGCACGTCTTTGGCTCGGACGCCGTCGTAAGGCTTACTGCCGAAGGTCATCAATTCCCACATCGTGACACCTGCAAAGAACAGAAGAACAGGCATTGATCAAAACAGATTGCCGTGGTTAACAAGGGTTACAGTGTTGACTCATGTGAGGTGGTATGTAGGTTCAAATCTTGATGGCAACATGGTGGTTGTGTTCTCGGGGAGGATACTTTACTTCAATAGCCTCTCTCCCCCAGGATTATTAAAGAGTACTTGTGAGGATAGAAAACAGATTAAGGATCTTGAAATACTGTAAGTTTTTTTGTTTGTTTTGTTTTGTGTTGTTTTGCAACTGCATTATGCGCTATTCCACATTTTTAGTAGTATTATTACTGAATGATGAAGAAAGGGTTGTTCCATAGAGCTATATTAAATTACTAGAGTGCTAACTCGCCATTCTGCACGCGGAGACGCTTTGAAGCTGTCCTGGGCGCAGACATTTTGAATTCATATGCGTGTTTGTAGAACATAATGAAATTAGATGGATTGAATTTTGAAAGTGTACTCTACATTGATCTCCATTAAATGGAGATGAATGGTACTCTACATGCAATGCGCAAGTAGAACGTACGCAAACAACTAAAGCGCGTCATTGACGGTTCAAACAAACGTGACGGCAAAAAGCATCTGCAGCGAATACGCGCACGCGTTGCGCTGTTTGCGTAGAGCAAAATGACACACTAATTTGCTGATCGTGCGTTTCGGTTTTGGGCATATTGGCTTCGATAACGCACTGGTCATGCTGGTATGGAATACAAACGCAGATATGCAAATAGCCGTACAAAATGTCTAGGTCTCCATAGGTTTGTGCACAAACATGGATGCGCCTAGCAGGCATTACTTTGTACACGAAGTTAGCGCTCTAGTAATTTAATATAGCTCTATGGGTTGTTCTTAGCTCTGTGATACTGATAAGTCAATCCATATAAAAGTCTTTACCAAAACTCCAGACGTCGCTCTTGTGGGAGAAGCGTCTGTACTGAATGCACTCCAAGGCCAACCACTTGATAGGCATCTGTAGGGTAAACCATTAAACATTTATCCGTCCATCATTAGTTATTCTAACAACAGCTCAGAAACCTGGACTGTTTCAAAATGTAACCTAAAAGTCATTTACGTTTACCACTGGTAAACGTATCGTTCCACAGCGGGTAGACAAAGTGAAAAACATTGCGTCAACCGGTATAAAGGCTCAAAATGTTATGTGGACCTCCCAAAGTTGTGCTCCCCTGCCAAAGTTTTGCTGTTCCATCAAATTCTCACATCACCTGCTTCACATTTTAGTAAACAAAAAACTTCTTTAAAGCGTCCCTAAAATATTCTGAAAGAGTGCCATCTGTCTGCTTGTGTATAGTGCAACGAATGGAGTACGCTCGCGTTTTGGTTCATGGGCTGAATCACGCGCTAATGTCTTTACACACATGGTGTGCGCGTGATGTATTCACTTCGGTACCCTATTTCGTGACTGTAAATTTTCACTAAATGAAGTCGGTGGGGGAACACACACCTTGCCTCCCTGCGCCTGGAATTCATTCTCGTCCACATCAAGGAACTTGGCCAGTCCGAAGTCAGTGATCTTGACTTGCTGCGCGGTCTGCACCAGGACGTTACGCGCCGCCAGGTCACGGTGAATCAGGTGCTTCTCCTCCAAGTACACCATACCCTGTATAAAATAGGCAAGGTTGAGAAGGGAACCATACTCTTTGCTGCGGCCATTTTGGATTTCTGTATGTACAACTTCAAACTATAGGCCGAGCTGCAAAACAGTCTGGTGCCGATGATGTAATGAACAAATTCTGTTGTGATTGAAGGGCGTTTCAGAAAACAGCCATTGCTGTCTATGCTAAATATGACTATTTACTGTAGTACGACCACTGGCAAAACCCGAAGCCACAGCTACCAATAAAAACAGAGTGCGCCATGGCCCCTGGCCTCATTGTTGCTTTCAGGGGATCTGACAATGGCAAAATACTTAAACAGCTATACCATTCACAACTGGTCAAACAGTAAATTCTCAATGGCTTAATATCTGAAAATGTCCCACTAGTATAAAAAAAAAGCTGTCTCTTCGACCTTTTACCTCAATTTCTAATTTTTAACTGCAAATTTTGAGCACAATTGAAGCCAACACTCAACGGCTCTGTTGGAAGAGAATTTGTCAAGTAGGTCAAAACTGAGTTGGGTGGTTTTAGAATGGACATGTATGGACCAACACCACATGGTCAGTTTTTCCATGGTCAGTTTTTCCACGCACCTGAGCTATTTGGTAGCACCAGTTGAGGAGATGGTGTGACCCGATCCGATCCTTGTGTTCACGGACGTAGTCCAGCAGAGCACCCAGCGGCATGAGCTGCGTGATGAGCGATATCTCCTGAGCCATGCAGACGCAGGCCAGGCGCAGTAGGTAGGGATGGTCCACTGAGGCCATCACCTTGGCTTCCTGTAGTGAGGGAGAGAATTTAGCCAAGGAGAAAGACAGGAGACTGAATATGGGATGCAAAACAACGTGGAAAATACGATAAAGGTCTATTCAATTCAACATTGGGTTTTGCCCTTCACGGACGTATTTTTCCCCCCATAAACATTGTATACTGGAGTGCTGTGGCCTCGTGGTTAAGAGCACTGGATTCGTGGTCTGTGGGTAAAGCTGCGGATTGTGGGTTCGAGTCCAGCCTGGGTCATGGTGCGTGTGCCCTTGAGCAAGGCACTTTGTCACTAATTGCTTCTCTCCACACAGGAGTAAATGGGTACCTGTGAGGGCAGAGATGGTTATTGTGATTGAATAAGCTTGCTTGCGCCTAACAGGCAGCATCCAGCTGTATACTCCCCAGGGAGCTGAGATGGTATTTGGAATGTTTCATTGGCCCAATGATCAGGGGTAATAATAATACTGTAAGTGCTGTGATTTAGTTTACTAATAAGAGCGTTCTTAAATGCCGATTATTATTATTAGTATACTCAGTGCAGCCCCGAGTGCCGATGAGAAAATAATCACTCAGGTGGGAGTCGAACCCACAACCTCCTGCTTACTAGTGCAGACGTCTTACCACTCGACCACCGAGCCTGCCGAGGTCAGCCGGCTGGCTCGAATAAAAGTCTAAGTATCCTTGTCAGAATTTCAGGGTTGGATTTGTGGCTTTTTTGTCTCATTTCACTGGCAACATTTGCATCCGGAATCAACCATGGGGAGAGGAAAAGTGGTGAGGTAGGTTGACAAAAGGGTCTCTTAATGGGGGAACTTGGTCTAGGGAATTTGGGAGAAGAGATCTTAGTGAAAGAGATTAGGAGTTCTTGGAAGATGCAGATCATGGATGGGATTGCTCAGAAATGGAGATCTGGGCTTGGGGATCTCGGAAGTGTTTCTTCAGGAAAGAAGATCTTGGTGAGAGAGAATGGGGGATTTTGACGGAAACAGATAGTGATTAGTGCCGGTGAAAAGTAATCACCTCAGCGGGAGTGAAATCTTAGAAGAGCTCTGGGGGAGACTGAGTGGAATCTGGCTACAGTTTCTTCCAAGGAAGAAATCTTGGTGAAAGAAAATTAAGGGATTTTGACAGATTGCAATTGTCACTGATTATTTTGAGGGGAGGAAATCAAGAAAAGAGAATTTGGAACAGGTGCTTGTGAGCTTGAGACATGGTTTGGAGTTTGGAGGATCTTGACAGACTGCAATGTTCAGGAAAGGCACCTGATTGTTTAAATCACAGAATGGTTTTAGGAATTTCAGGGATTCCTTTCTTTGGGAAAAGTGAACCTAGTGCTCTTGTCTTACCTCAAGGAGCTCTTCAGATGCTGACGGAGACACTTCCCGCAGCACCTTGATGGCCACAGGGATCCTGATCTTGGTCTCACCCTCCGGGATCCACAGGCCCCGGTACACCGTGCCGAAGGCTCCTGAGCCCAAGATGCTTCCCCGCTTCAGCTCCGTCTCCTTGATGATCTTGAGCTGGGCCTGGTTGGGCGCTGCGCCGCTTGGGGTCAGAGGCTGCAAGAGAGGAAAGATGACGTAACAATCTGTGAATATCTGTTATTAAACACATCTCCATCGATGACAGAACTCTCATTTGGCCACTCCCTTCCTGACAATCAAACTGAGCGCACTGACCAATAAGATCCCTTATGTGTGGTCAGGTGACCAAGGTAGCTTGGTCAAGCTCAGTCACAAGCACTTTGAGACATTTACACAAATCAAAGGTGGGCAGGGCCTAATTTTATGGTGCTGCTAAGCACACACTTTTGCTAACAGAGCCTCTGTCTATTTCATGGAGACTGTAAGCAGTAAGCACAGCAAAAGGCATGTTTACCTCAGAGGAATACTTTGCTTTACTTAGTGACATCCATGCTGTGAAACAGTGCTTTAAGGTTAGCACAACTGTTCTATATAGTAAGCACAACTTTTCTGCTAACTGTTAATCAGCACCATGAAATTTGGCCCAAAACTCATGCCCAAATCAGTGAAGGTCAATTTCCTGTATCTCTTGATGTCGAAATCTCAGGCAGATCACACTAGGTCTGAAATATACAAAAGCTGACAAAAATGTTGCCAAAAATGCATTTACTCTTTTTTGTGTGCATGTTTTCCTGACAAAAACTACCAAGTCAAAACTCTACCCATACTCACCCCATTGCCATAACTAGCGCCTTGAAGGTCCTTCAAAGCCTGCAAACAAGCAACCAAAAAAAAAAATGTAAACCATCTAGAGCAACTTGACGTAAACCATCTAGAGCAACTTGTCGACACCTCTACATACGTCTGTCAAGTTGACGTGATGTGTCCATTAGACATTAGTTTGTGAACAGAACAATGCAGACACATGTACAGATAAATCTGCAGATAATTCAAGGCACATAGGATTTATTCCAAAAGTAACACACTGAATTATTTTCAAAAGCTTACTTTGATTAAAGATCGTACTGGTACTAAACACCCTGTGAAATTATTCCAGCTGATTTGCTCTTATTCAGAAGAAATCAAGAACCATAGGTGATTTCCCACCATCAGGCAATTGATTGATTTTCAGAATAAAGAGTGTGATTGACAAAATCGTGTTTCGAGATCACAAAGTTTGGCATGCTTTTTTCCTGTTTTTTCAAAAAGTGTATGAGCTGAAACTTCAGAAGGTCAGGCTTTGAACACTCTTCTGTGGATTTTGAGTTGGTGGTATTGTTGGGAAAAAAACAAAATGCATGAAAAGCAACTGATTCAATATGCCTTTCAGGACAGATTGCATGCTTGGATTTAGAAATGAAATAATTCACAACTTGCATTTTTCATTATTTTATTTACTCACCAGTGCAGGTGGAATGTAGCCGCTCTTTGTCATTTTTTGGTAAACGAAGTAAGCAATAATAACGAGGACGAGAATGGCAATCACTGAGACAGTGACACCCACTATGGTGCCGATGGGAACCTGATCTCTGAAACGAGAAAATGAAACGGTGACCAATTATCAAGAGGTAGATGTTTCACAACCACTTCAAAACAATATTTTTTTCTTACCCCCTCCTAGTCTTCAACACTTCACTTACTTTTGTGGTTTTGTGTTGGGTATGAGGGCTGGATCTCGCATGCAAACGCCACTGCTGTTTGTGTAGTCTTTGGGACACTCCTCTAAACACTCGCTGTCGTACTTGACGTTCAGGCACTGGAAGCAGGAACTCCGGCGGTCGTCGTAGCAACCGCCCAGGCACTGCTGGTGGCAGGCCATGCACTGGTTTTTTTCCGTGTTGGCAAACTCGCCCTCCGAGCAGTTGGCCACACAGTGGGAGTTGCGATCGTCGTAGGGGTAGGCGGGCGGGCACTCTTTGGCGCAAAAGGTCTGTGACAAGTCCAATAACCAAATTAAAGCTATTGTCAAATCTCTGGGAAATGTCAATGGGCCGATACGTATGAACAAATGTACTGATCTATGGAAATCCGGAGATGACTAACACAAAGCTGGATAGCTCAGGTGGTAGAGAGCCTGTACAGTTTTGTGAAGGTTACAGGTTCACGTCTCACTCCAGTCCATTTCTCTGTTCAATTTAACATTAACTTAAAGTGAACCAATGCAGTTTTTCTTTCTGGTTTACTTGATGACTTTCACATTTCAAAATTTTCTTTCAAAAGCATGTATTAAAGTTTTAAGTTGAACAAAGAAATTGACTGGAGTGGGGATTGAACCTGTGACCTCCGGATTACCGCTCCGGTGCTCTACCAACTGAGCTATCCAGCCCTATGTTGGCGGCTCCCCAATGTGTCAATGTCATTGTACAAGGAGCGCTAGCCAGAAGCCATAAACACGTATATACCGGTATGCCATGTAGCCAGAGATCACGCCCAAAGTCACAATGCTAACAAAATTAGCAATGCCGCAAACCTGGAAATAGCAAACTTGGACATGGATAAGGCTTTTCATTACCTATTTTCAAATAAACCACAAAAAACCTGACTAGGCGCATTACAACAATTTTCAAATTTAAAATAATGCGAGTACACAAATATGCTTCAAACACTGCAGTTGAGAATTTGAACCACAAATGAATTTTTTAATAAAAATGATGCATACCACATTGTCGCTCTCCAGAACCTCAAAGTTTTGACAGCCGGCGCAATCATAGGGGGAGCTCCCCCCGGAGCATTCTCTGCACTGCCGGTCACAGTCCCGGCAGCTGTTATCCTCGTCAGGGAACTGGTTGGCGCCACACTCTTTCACGCACTCCAGACCTCGCTTGTACTTCATGCACTTCTTGCATTTGGAGGGACCGGCACCGAAACAGCCCAGGCAGTTGCTGTCACACTCCTGGCAGAGCTGCAGTTTGAAAGAATGCTTTATCAGATAAAGTTTCTTGTTCTTTTGTACTGATTTAAAGCTATAGTCCATCATTTGCAGCCATCCGAAAAGTAACTGGCGTAATTATTGTTGAAAAACATACTTGGTTGAAAGATAGTAAGGGTACTAAACTCCCTGTGAAATTATTCTTTCTGGGAAGCTGTCATTTTGAAGTAATCAACGAAAGAAGGCCTTTCCAATGGTGCATCTTAAGACGCACCGTAGGAAAATTTAAATTAGTAGTTCGTTTTGTTATTCGGCGAAGCGCGCGCAAGCATTGGCACGACACACACGCGCGCGCGGTTGCTATAATTCGTCGGATCAGTGCGCGACGTCGCGTATAGCTGCAATTCAAAACAATTCAAAACATGATTCAGTAACTTTTGATTTGAAATTGAGATCCTAGAATGCTGTTTTTCTCGGAATATACAGCTGAAGCTTAGCTGAAACTTCATCAGGTTAGTTGTTCAGTATCCTTCATTAGATTTTGAACACTTTTGTTGCTTCAAACGAACAAAATGCACAAATTACAAATGATGGACTATATCTTTAAGGTTTAAGGTCGTAACTCCATTCTGCAACAAGGTTGTATCTGGCGCGAATACGCTCCGTGAAACAAGGGCGTATTTCGCGTATCACGATGTCCATTGACTTTGTGTTTACCCCTGGGTTATTTTTAGCGAAATACGTCCTTTTAACATTGAGAACTCGCGTTTCACGTACATGACGTCACACGCCATTTTAGGAATTTCTGTACTGATCAGTCATAATTTGAGCAAGATGTGCCCAGTCGTTTTGGAGTTAGACAAAAAAAGTATAAAGGGGGGACTTTCTTTTTTGGTTGAGTGTATTAGGCTATGGGCGTGGTACTTGTCATCACAGCCATACTTAGTACAGTTTTCTTTACTCCTCCTTCCCAAAAATGGGTTCAAGAAACCACTGATCCTGCTGCCCTGAATGAACAATATCTGTCTCTATCAGCCCATACTCACCGAGTAGCCCCTGAGAGGCAGTTTGCTTGATAATGCAATGTGGAATGAGAAGGAGTTGTTGCTACACGGCTCACCATCTGTCATACACTCCAACTGACCGACAAGAAAGACAAAAGAAACAACTGCTCTTTAGAAATTCATTCAAAACCAAAAACAATTTGATGTCCTCACACGTCAAACAAAACACAAGGACGTATCGTTTCCTCGTGTTGTGTGTTTCCTGGGATTTGATTTTGTTGACTGTGCATTGAGCTATTGGTTTTGTTCATCACTGAGGCTGTGTCGGATTGAGCCTACTTGGCTGCGACTGGAAATTACACACAGCCACTTCCCATAGACCCGTGTGTTATTTCCAGCCGTAGCCAAGTAATTCGGACGTGGCTTGGTGTCAGAATTACTTGGCTATGGCTGGAAATAACACATGTGTCTATGGGAAATGGCTGTAGCCACTTCCATAGGCGCTTCCATAGGCCAATATCCTGCCATAGCCAAGCAATTCGGACGTACGGCTTAGGCTGTGTCAGAATTACTTGGCTATGGCTGGAAATAACACACAGGTCTATGGGAAGTGGCTGTAGGAATAGGAAGCTGTAGGAAGTGGGAATAGGCCAATATCTAGCCATAGCCAAGCAGTTCGGACGTACGGCTTAGGCTGAGTCAGAATTACTTGGCTATGGCTGGAAATAACACACAGGTCTATGGGAAGTGGCTGTAGCCGCTTCCATAGGCACTTCCATAAGCCAATATCCAGCCATAGCCAAGCAATTCGGACACGGCTTAGGCTGAGTCAGAATTACTTGGCAATGGCTGGAAATAACACACAGGTCTATGGGAAATGGCTATAGCCACTTCCATAGGCGCTTCCATAGGCCAATATCCAGCCATAGCCAAGCAATTCGGACACGGCTTAGGCTGTACCAGAATTACTTGGCTATGGCTGGAAATAACACATGTGTCTATGGGAAGTGGCTGTAGCCGCTTCCATAGACGCTTCCATAGGCCAATATCCAGCCATAGCCAAGCAATTCGGACACAGCTTAGACTGAGTCAGAATTACTTGCCAATGGCTGGAAATAACACACAGGTCTATGGGAAATGGCTATAGCCACTTCCATAGGCGCTTCCATAGGCCAATATCCAGCCATAGCCAAGCAATTCGGACACGGCTTAGGCTGTATCAGAATTACTTGGCTATGGCTAGAAATAACACATGTGTCTATGGGAAGTGGCTGTAGCCGCTTCCATAGACGCTTCCATAGGCCAATATCCAGCCATAGCCAAGCAATTCGGACACGGCTTAGGCTGAGTCAGAATTACTTGCCAATGGCTGGAAATAACACACAGGTCTATGGGAAGTGGCTACAGCACGTGTTTAATTGTAAGTCGTAGCCACGTAAATCAGACACTGCCTAAGTATACCTTGATCTGTGACATTTGACCAATATCCATGTACAAATTTAACCAGCATGCAACTTGGAGCAAGTTTCCATGTCTAACTTCAGGGCCCAATTTCACGGCGCTGCTAAGCGGCACACGGTTTTATGCTAACAGAGCTATTTCATGGATACCGTAAGCATAAGCACAGCAAAAGGCACGCTTACCTCGGGAAAAAATTTGCTTAACGTAGTGACGTAACAATAGAAATCTCCATGCACCCACGACCGTTAGCACACACACGCCGTGAAATAGTGCTTAAGGTAAGCAAATTTTTCTGCTATGCTAAGCACAATTTTTCTGCTAACTGTTAAGCAGCACCGTGAAATTGGGCCCAGATGACTACTGCTTTACATGTAACTCTAGAATCATGGGATGGAGTGGCACATGTGTACATGTATATGTGCATAAAGGAACAATTCTGGCTGGACAAGTTGCGGTGGGGAAGTTTATGAATACTCATTTTTTTAAGTTGGAAAAGTTTCATATTGAGAAACAAAATTTCACACTTCCACAATAACTTTTTGTTTGAAGTAAAAAGCAATAGTTTTTTGACATTTTCAATTAATTTTTTTTTTTTTATTATCATTTTGTTCTTTATAATATGTTTTTATTTAAACTTAAATTAAAAAAAAAAAAAATTGGGGGCAATCTATAAATTAAAGTTCACATAGTCTGACACTGAAACTTGCTCTTTAGCAAAAACATTAGAAAAATTGTCCACACAATTATGTGTTAGTACATGTATACTTTGGAATACAACTAGAAATGTTTTTAGTTTCGTAGTATTCCAGCCAATTCTGTCATAGTTATAGCTAAATGAATAATGATATAGATTAAGGAATACTGGATATATGAGGGATGTACGAAAACGCAGGCATTCTGTTGATAAAACACTACAAACAGGCATCATGGCACATTTCAATGTGTTTCAATCATCCATTTTCAGGTGGTCTTGGGGGATCGGCACATGCTTCCTCATGCAACGCTAATACCATTTCACATTCTCCAAAATGCATCTTGGTCTGAACCAACTATCATCGTAAAATTTCCTTCAATGTTTACAAAAAAAATTGACCATTTTACCAATGCCTTCTGGGGCATTCTATAAACTGAGGTTCCAAAGTGCGATATTTTTCCTGCCCCCGTTATCTCTGAACTTGTTAATTTTCCAAATTTTATTTATTTTGTCGAGTATCGGTACATGTATTTCATGCTATTCAGAATCACTCTTCGAGGACGACTGAATAAAGGAGTTTTATCCACAATTAAATCAAAGATGTTAAATGTAACGGGGACTGGGAAAAGCGGGTGTTCGAAGTCCAGTACACTCTTCTTCAATCTACTACTTCTTAAGAAACACTCTCCTGGCTGACAAAAGCTTGCCATCAACGATTAGTCGGTTATTTCTAACTTAATTGAACACAAAAAAGAATCAATGTGGACCACTGTGACCATGCCATATTTTTTAAGACAATTGGGTAACATTTTACTTTGCAATAAGGGGAAGGGGTGACATGGGAAAGGAAGGGAATTTTGAATTTTTTGAACGTAGTTTGCCGACTGTAGTATGCAAATTGCATTTGGTATTGATGTGGTCTACTTCTGCCTGAAGCCACATGCACAGAAACTCGATTTGTTGCACTGTTCTTTTGCCTCTAAACGTCACTGCTTAGGGACTGTGACCATTCAGCCCTGGTATGAAAAGGGCCCCCCGGTACCCTGTCCGGTCCAAAGCCAGTCCGGTCTTCAGCCCAGTCTCGTCCGGTACATGGTCCTGTCTGACCAGAAGTTTTGAAGTCAGTCAGGCGCATTAATTAATTGCCCTTCAGAGAACGTCCAGAGCAGAACAATAGCAGACTTACCGGATTAAAGATAAAATCCTTCCATAACGCCTAGGTAATTTACGGTCCCATTGTGCGCGAAACGCCATGGCAGGGGTTTTGATCTGTGCCGACAAAAATGTTCTATTGTTTCTTCTGGGATATATTACATGTGTCAATACTTGCAAACAATAGACCCCAGGATAGAGGAGTTCCTGATTAGCAACCGGACCAGCTCCTAGGCCGGTAGCTGGGACGGTATGAGAGGACTTCTTGGAAGGGGACGAGCTTACCGGGGGGCCCTTTTCTTACCGGGGCTGAATGGTCACGGGCCCTTACTTGCCACTCACAATGTTCACAACCAAACCACTATGAATGTTGAAGGACCCACACTGTCACTGCCGGTTCTGTCATGACCAATGCATCAGTGCTTTCCAAACCAAACCAATATTAATATTGAAGGACCCACACTACAATATCGGTTCTGTCATGCCAATGTTTCAGTGCATTCCATATGCACCAATGGGCTACAATTTTGAGTATGTACGTTCGTTTGGAACGTATTAGTCATGAACGCTGGTGCAGCACATGCACGCACGTACACGTTTGTTTATGGCGTAAATCGAGGATTTTCTACGTTCCTCTTCCCTTTTACTTTGTTTACACTCTAACTTTTTTGCAACAGCTCCCATTGGTTTTGTACACGTTTTCTAATCGAGGTCGTCCTTGATTTGGTTCCTGTTCTCAATTCACCAATGATGTTGCACGTGTGTGTCCTCAATTTACACCATAAACCTACTCGAACCAGTCATGGCCTTTTTCTTTTGCTCACTTAGTGTGTCCTTCATTGGTTCTCGTACACCAAACAGCACCACCTACAATTTCTGCACGAAATATGTGAACCAGCTACAGAAACAGATGCATGGCCCTGTACCGTTTTTAGTAGCAATATAGATATACTATGTTGCAGACCAAAGACTTTACAATGGTAAAAACTGCTTCTACATGTGTTAAAAACAGGCATGGAAAAGGGAGGGGGATGCTCTGTCAAACTCCAGACTAGCTGTGTTATCAAGACATGGTTTCATTATCACGGGCACAAGCATTTGGCACAGGGTATTGCAGTCAAATGTCATTCCACAGGGATTCTGTTCAGACAGGGTTCTGGCGACTGGGCTAAAAAAAACCTGTCATCCCCAAACTGGTCTGGTTTAACTTGATGAACGACTATTAGGTTTCATGATGTACCACAAATGCCATCATTCAGTCTCAACTGATTTAAATCACATGGCAAAGTACCACTGGAACTTCAAAATAATTAAAGAAAAGAACAATGCAGTCTATCAGATCAAAAAGGCCTACAGAGCTTGGCTCATACTCGTTGCAAATGCGAATTTGCGACGTCCGGCAAATATTCGCACTGCGAATTCGCAAAAGTTTAACACATTTCTAGGTCAGATTCAATTGGCTGACATCAAATTTACAGAGACCATATAAGAGGTCGTAAAGCTGGCTCACACTGTTGCGAAGTCGGGCTAATATTCGCACTGCCAACGCGCAAACAGTTGAACACATTTCACTGACGATAGATTTCGCTTGGCATTTGCATTCACGTGTAGAATGAAACGGCCTTAATTCCTTCAATTTATCTTAAAGCAATTTCATCTGAATGAAACAGCCTGTTAAGCTTCTTCTTTTTTTGGAAATCAATTTCTACCTATAAGATTTGAGGCTTTGCATGGTCGAGTATCGGTATCGTTTCGGTTTGCGGTAACAGTCAAATCAGACTAGTTTTTGGTTCACAGCTTGGGGGCCCTGCCTGAACACAACCCACGAAGCTAGTACATGGTGTTACCGCAAACCGAAACGATAATTTCTACCTAGTCAAAAATATTGACATTTTATGGAGTATTTGATAAGGAAGGTCAGTTTCTTTTTGTCCAGTTTAGTTTTCAGTACGAGTTTTCTGAGAACGAGTGCGCCATTTGGCGTCCAAATCTGAAACCGCTCGGACTTCAAGTCAAATCAAAACAGTTTTTGGTTCACAGCTTGGGGCCCCTGCCTGAACACAACCCAAGAAGCTAGTACCTACCGAGTCTGGTGTAAGGTCTTTCTAAGATTAGCATGATGGAAAATGAGTATGATAGGACACAAGAAAGCTGGTTAATACTGGGGCTGGAAAAATTCCATTACTGAGAGGATACAACTCTCTTAACTACAGGCAAAAATAAATGCTCATCACAGATGTCATCGAGAACTGATACAGCTGACATTAGTGCATTTTATATATTTAAAAGCCAAACAAATTATTTCCGTAAAAAAAAAAAATTGTACCCGACAGATGATTTTTTTTTTGCCAACTCTGAAGTGCCAATTTAATTGAAAGCAAACCACTTGACATTCTTCAATATTTGAATACTTTCCCAGTTTTAATAATCAAGTTGCATTTCTTCTGATCTTTTGTTCTGTTTCAATGATTTTTTGTTTCTGGGCAATTAATCCCTGAATCAATTAATCAATTAATAAGAAAATCGCTATTATTAGAGTTGCTTAAGTCTTTTTCTTTTTGCAATATACAAAATAGACGGTAAGTAAGATTTCCCTAAAACCCAGAAAACAAGCCCCATTGAAGCACAACTATACATGAAAGTCTCTTTTTCTTCTTCTTTCTTTCCTAAAAATATGAATCGACCTCAACTTACAACTGTAACGCCGTCTTGCTCGACCAGGGCCTGATGACAAGCCACACAGCCCCCCTCTCCCACTTTATTTTCTGGCCCAGTACACCTGCAGACAATGTAAAAATAATAAATCCATCACATTTGTTGATAAAACAGTCCAACAACTTTGAGGAAATGACAACAAAATTGAGAACAAAAACATTCAATAATCTGTTATCTGCTATGTACCTCGATCTTTGGGCCCCCTTTTTCATTAGGCGCGAAATCACATAAATCTGCATGCTTTGACATATCAGACGTTATACAGGAGACTTGGCTCTGAGGATAACAGGTGATACTCAGACTAGAAGTACAGTGGCACTCACCCCTTTTCCTTGACACAGTTACTGTGGCACGGTTGGCATAATCCGTTCTCGTCTGGGTACTTGGAGACCGGGCAAGCAGCCCGACAGAACGGACCATCTTGCACGTGTAGGCACTCGGTACAGTTTTGAGGGCCCTAATAGCGTAACAAAGAAACAAGCAGTCAGGTTATAGAATGAATGTCTAAGCAAGGACGAGTAAGGACGTCACCACAAGTAATACTAAGTCAATCATGCATCATCCAGCTGCAAATCCAATGAATTGTGACAAAGCGATTCCTTTGTTATTGTTCATTCCCCAAATTATCTGTGACCTGACCCGTGAACTGACTTGTGATTGACTTATGACCGATTTTTAAAACTTACTTGCGATTGTCTTGTGATTGACTTGTGAATGACTTGTGATTGACTTGTGATTGTCTTGTGATTGACTTGTGATTGTCTTGTGATCGACTTGTGATCGACTTGTGATGGTCTTGTGATGGTCTTGTGATGGTCTTGTGATGGTCTTGTGATGGTCTTGTGATGGTCTTGTGATTGTCTTGTGATTGTCTTGTGATTGTCTTGTGATTGTCTTGTGATTGTCTAGTGATTGTCTTGTGATTGTCTTGTGATGGTCTTGTGATTGTCTTGTGATTGACTTGTGATTGTCTTGTGATTGACTTGTGATTGTCTTGTGATTGACTTGAGATTAGCTGTTACTGTCTTGTGACTGACTACATATGACCTACCGGCCCACGACACCTTCCCTTGCATTCAGGGTCACAACGGGCACAGATGGTGGGTTTTTCGCTAGTGCCTTGTGCCACTACGTACCTGTAAACAGAACAAGCCAAGAATATCAATTATGATTAGAAAATCCAGATAACAAATACAGAAACTCAACCTAAACAGAAACGCAAAATTGTTCAAACCAAAATTTTAAATTAAAGGAAAAAGGCCACAGAATTGAAAAAAAAAAAAAAAAAAATTATTTTTAAAAATCAGGATCATTTGACTTACTGTGACAATCCGTCACATTGCAATATGCACATGTCGTCTAATTGAGCGTTTTTACATCGGGCACACTGCTTGGGACCTGCCCCCCAACAGCCAATGGGGGCGCATTGCGGGTCACACACAAGATTTGCCGCAGCTATTAACGGGGAGAGAAATTCCACGAAAAAATTTCATTAGTTTACATTCACAATGCACGTGGAATAGACAACATATTAAAATGATTACGATTAAGATATACGAATGAGCTCGTGTTTGAGATAATGTACAGTTAGCCTTGTCCATATTTGTATGAAAAAGTAATTCTATTCAGAAATTTACAATGATGGATGAAAAATTGAGTTTTTGGTTTTTTTGGCTTTTCTTAAATGTGTGTGTTTGCATTTGTCTGGTTTTGATTGAACTTTGGAACTTTGACGGAAAATCAGATGCCATGTATAATTAAAATGTACAAAAGTCCACAGCTTCACTCCAAAGAGTACAAATAAAGTTCATCTGTTAACAACCTACATGTACACTATACATCTAAATAGGAAATAATGTCTGTTATCTTTGAAAAGAAATGTTAGTCACTATCAAGAGAGGAAAAAGTCTCCATTACAAAATTTTTTTAATTCTTTGACTTTCCTAATTGTTTCATGGACATATTTGCACATTGAAAAGTTCTCCGTACTAATCTTTTTTTTTTTTTTTTTGAGAGGCTGTATGCGAAAATGATAACTGCTATTTTTGTGTGAAATTTGAGCCCAAATCTTCTCTTAAGTCATGTTTTATCACTAAAAAAAAAGTTTTGAGCTTTTAGAAACATTTGACTTTAAAAATCACAGAAACGAAAGATGAACAATGAGAGGAAAATACACCACACCCCCCAAAAAAAAAGGAAAATGTTTTTTGTAAGCCCCTTGCTAAGCCTGAAAGTCCAATGCCTGTTAACAAGGCAACACATATCCCATTTCTGTAGCTTTTGGATCAAGGAAAAAGGAATGGGAAAAATGTTAAGGCTGGGTTGAAGATCAAAAACAAAATTGATGAAACTTTGTAATGACTACCCAAGAACTTTTTATTCTAATTAACCAGTTCTCGCAGCGAGCGAGGCCGGAAATATGAATGTGCCGAAATATGAATGTGCCGGGTGATGGCTTTAACCCGCCTGGCTCGAGATCGAGTGAAAATTAATCCTGCGCCTCGTTCCGTTCTTGTCAAAATAATCCCGGCACGAACTGGTTAAAGACCAAAAATGAAGCCAAAAAAAGTAGCTTATTCTAATGATACCAAAATGGAATAGAACAGTAAATGGAAGAGCCAGAAATCCCACACATTTGCTGCTCAAAGCGGGTTAAGAAGCGTGAAGGACAGCGAGAACGAAAAAGTTGACGCTAAAAAAGCGTGTAACAGCAGGACAGGAACAAGAAAAAATGCAAACAACCTAGCTTTTATTCCCTTGATTCCCAGCAGGCCTTGACAGCTTTGTTAAATATTTTGTTATATTTTTTCTATGCAAAGGAACTGTCCCTCAGAACTCTTTCTATGTTGACAAGGTTGTTACAAAAAATAAATAACAGAACAGAGTGGGATTTTTGTGTGGTTGAGTCTCAGCATTGTATAAGAGTTCTAGTTCGCCTCAACTTTCTTTTGAAGCATTTGGCCCATTTTATGTTTCACAGAAAATCTTGTCAAAGAAAGAGTCTTTTGTCAGAACGAAAAATCCTTCGCACCATAGTGAACCGCAAATCACTGCACATGAATCATACGAAAACAGACCTTTGTCACACAAAAGTTACGTGTCTAGTTCCTTGAATACAAGACAATGCCAAATCAATCATTCTGACAGTGGATACCAGCCTTGAATTTCCAGTAACCCAGATCACTGCCCTTTTTGACAAAACGAAGGAAAAAAATTCAATCATTTGGTGTCCAGCTGCAAAGAATGTTTGAGATTGGAGCTTCATTCAGCCTACCTTTTCCCCAATTTTCATATTTTGACATTTATTAAAAACCCAATTTTCTAGCATTACAGTGGATTTGGGATTGCAAAAAGCCAACTTTCTCAAATTCAACTCAAATTTGGCTGGACGTCCAAAGTTTTTGAAGTACATGGAATAATTGAACTAGTTGAAATTTCTGCAAAATCAGTGTCTTTTGGATGAAAGGAATACAGGCGCAGCAACAATGTGACAAATGCCTATACCAAGCAGGAAAAAATGTACTATCTAATATGTATCAATACACACATGCGTCATACTTTAATCTGTACTGGTGCTCCATTATGCCATAATGGCTTGTCGCACAGCGTGGCACGTGACATTTACCGTCACGCAAAGTAAAAGACATTATCAGTTTTAAACAGTCCAACCTTCATAGATAACTGTCGCCATTCCGAGGACGTCAGGACAGTACAGACGCAAGTATTTCAACCATGACAACAAACCAACAGTGCATGTCGCCTCTCGACATTAAAATGCTTGCGAGATCCATTTCTGATTTGCACTTATGTTTGGATATGTCTCAAAGTAAGTTAATGTTGAGGGTGGGTAGACCAAAAAAAAAATGTCCCTAAAACCAGTTCCTCCTTGACCAAGATTCACCAATACAGCATAAAGCATGACCTTTCTCAACACACTAAACGTACAAACAATATATAACAAATGTACAAATAATGGCGCATCAATGAAATCCCCAATTTGCCCCGCTCGGCACCGATACAAGTTGATAGCGTTTGGCAGGCTCGTCAAGTGTTTTTTTTATTAAGGCAGCAGGAAGGCAGTTTAGCGTGGGAACTAGAAGGCGTCGGCAGGAGTCGGTGCTGAAGAAGAGGCGCTTGTCCAGGAAACTGAGAGTACCTGTGGGGAAAGAAGTAGGGCTTGCCACAGCTTGGGGGGGGGGGGGGGGGGTTCAACCTTTTTCCAATAATGTCTTCAACCATTTATTTCTCTCTTTTAACTCTTACAGATTTAGGAAAGGAATATTTTACCAGAACATATATCATCAAATGTCAAAACGTTTTGGAGCCGAATAAAAGAGATTCAAAATTAATCTCACCGTGAAAGAAAAAACAAATTGTGATCGACTTGTTCTCATGGCTAGGGCCACATTTCTGGAACTGCGAAGTTCAGGGAAAAACCCCAGAATATTGCTTAGCCAAACTGGGGTGCAAGGCACAATTTCATGCAGTGACAATTACCAGTGATTGGTTCCCAGTTGAATTATGCTTTCATGTGTAGCCCCATAAATTGAGCTGAGCAAGATTTTCTGCTGAAAAAAATGTGGAAAACTGGTAAAGGTACGTCATGTTTTGGCTATTACTTTTCCCGTGGGTAGGGGAGAACTGTGGCAAACCCTGTGGAATGGGAAGGGTGGAGATTGGGGTTGGACTTGGAGGTGCATGATGTTATGAGAGGCCAGCCAGCCCTGTTGATTAAAGGTTTCACTCTGGTAGTAGTCTCAGGCACCGTGCATCTTTAGAGGGGGGTTACACGGGGGCAAGATGCGTTCTGACGCATGCATAAGCATCAGGCATATCAGTACTCAACGGTCAGTCTTGTCAGGCACTGGAGGGGTACAGATAAGGGGGGCGGTTAGGGGGGTAAGAGCTTCCAAACTGGCTTGAATTTGTGAATTGAAATTTGTGTTTATTTTCCAAACCAAAATTGCTTTGCAGTTTTCCTTTTTGTCAAATTTGTGTTTTTAATCATCAGAAAGATGTATCAACTTCTGATCAACATATTCTTTCATAAATATTGCCCATTTCAAACACTGTATAAGTACAACAATATCAGTGCTTTCCGACCTGTTTACAAAATGCAGGCTGTGTTTGAACAAATATCCGCAGGCACAAATTTGGTTCAATTCTTATTTGTTTCCACCTGCTACACTTGAGTTTGTCAGGGGTGTGAGCGACTACTGATAAAAATAGCTGAAAACAGCTGAAAAAGGTGTACAAAAGGTGAACTTTGGAAATCTCCTATACTTTTGTACACAGCAAACGAGGGGAAAAAGCTGAAATCCAAAACAAAACAAGCTGAAATCAGCTTTAAAGCTGAGATTTCACACCACAAGCTCAGCTGGAAACTCTTACTTTTTTTTCTCTTTGGTTAACAATGATTATTAAGTTAGGCATTACACAAGCAATCAGGCACTACATGTAGTATTCATTAATGTTACACATTCCATTGGGACAATTTCATTGGCTATAAATAACCATCTGAAGATGTATCTTCAGATGGCTTTATATATATGAATAAGTATACATACAACGTTAACTGCGGGAAAATCTCCTGTAGCGACTAACTGAATGGACACAATTGTCTTTTACATGTAATCTTTCGAACAGATTTTACTTTATGAGCAGTTACCGAAAGAAAACAATGTTATTTTTTGATATTCAGTCCCACTTTTTGGATTGAGGTTCTTGTAGATATGAAAGGCGAATTGGGGAAACACTCGTTCTTCATGTTTTGCAGGAAAAAAGTAAACACCTTAAAACTTGTTATCACTACAAGAGATTTACAACACACAGAAAAGCAAGGCTGTTATCTTGACACTATGGCCCGCAACTTTTTTCTTACTAATATATTAAAATTTAGGGGAAAAGAGGTATTCTTAGCTTTTAACTCTGACTTTTTGTTCAGAAAGGAATGTCTACCTCTATTTTTCCAAATGGGTTAGACATTTTCTGACAATTTCTGCTCAAAAACCTCCAGTTCATTTTTTGTTCTTCACTGACTTTAAACCACATGCAGCTTTGTTTCACGCTTCAATAGGTTTGTATAATGAAACCCTTCCCAGAAATGGATCGTCATCATTATTAAGTGGGGAGAGTTGTCAGCAAGTGTGCCAAGGTTGCAGTCTTTTTCAACCATATGAGTATGTGCACGACGTGTGTGTGACATTCTGCAAGTATTACCCACAGGGATGTTCCCAATGCGCGAGGGAAGCATCTTCAAATTTGTCAAGAATGTCCAGGATCATAAACACACACAGAGAGACAATTTTTGGATCAGTGAGAGTTAAGTCTGCAGTTCCACCATGTTGACAAGAAATCTCTTTCGTGAGTTTGTGTTGTTCTGAAACTGGTGGCACCCTCAACATTTTTGACATGTTTGGATAATTTGAAAATTCTGGTCAAACCGCAAAATTGCGCATAACTTCAAAATTCTTGTGCAAATTGATTTAACAAATGTCTTTTTTTGTCAAAAAACAAAAGACAAAAATTTTAAAAAGATTTAAGTGTCCATTTTTCTTTCAGAATGTCTGCATCCATCCTTTACATAATGAAGGCCACGTTTGAATTACTTTGCTGTGGCTTGAGATTACACACGCACCTATGGAATCCACTTCCATAGACCTGTATGTTATATCCAGCCTGATTCGGACGCGACGTGTAACTCTCCACACAACACCAACCACTCCCTAGCTTTCTTTAGTGCGGCAAACAAAAGGAATGTTAAGGCAGATTTCAAGGATGATTATCGAAACAGCTCACAGAGATACATGAACAAAATGTAGGGACACTACATCGATGTTGACATCGTACACAACACTTTGTGAATTACAAAGGTTTAATCAAGATGGAGATCTCAAAGGGTGGGGTTTTGAGACACCAGGGTTATGGGTTGGTGGTGCGTCGGGATTATAGTCTGGTACATGTACATGGAACATACGCCTAGCACATCGTATTGTAACCTAATCTTGTGATACAGGCTTTGTCAACAACAAGTTTATAAATGCTTCAGACTTATTTTTTTTTTTTTATATTTGGTAAAAAAAAAGCAGAGACAACCATTAGGTCAAACATGACTTTTTTACAAAAGGGTTTTTCACTTTGCCACATATGTCTTTCAACTGAAGGTTATATATAATTTCCAAACTTTTAGCAACAAAGCCTGCAACACCGTTACTTACAAACATATGTGAACCCAATCTAACAAAATATGTTTTGTGGCAACTTTAAAAATGTTTGAACTTTTTGTTGGCATTAGATATGTGTTTTCCCACTCAATTCCAAATAAGGAAAACAAACATGTACGTTTGAACATTTACCACTGCTTTTTTTGATTGTCACTGAATATTATTAAAAAATCTTGTGTGGCATAATTTCAAATTTTGTTGGATTGGGTCACATATTATCAAATACTGACAAAATGCTCGTTGAGGAAAATTACTAAAGGATTATTGAAGATGCATACATGTACATTCGAATATTATCTCATTATTGATGTATGTTTTCATTCCCATGCATCTAAGCATTCACATTATTTAGACTCTAGTGGTTATTCTATGCTTGCACAGGCAAAAATGCAATCTAATCGACTTAATCTGCAGTCTACAAGATTTCGAGAATTTGTGTTTCTGTATTCATTCATGTTGAATGTCTAGCTGTTTTGCATGATAAAAAGTTGTGTGTTCATGTCTTGGAATGATCTCTATGTGTGACGTCTTGAGGGATATTTGCTATGTAGGGTTGGCCTACAGTGTATGGCATGTATTTGTAAATGTTTCATTTTGAAAAAAACAAATTATATAAAACATGAATATTACAACTAATGGACAATTGGGAAGGGCAAATAAAAAGAAACTCAACTTTGTTTTGAAAATTGTGATAAAGTAAAGATCAACAGAACTGACACAAAATGAACCCAAAACTGATTGAACTGGAAAGTGGAAAGGGGGGGGGGGGAAACAGGTGTCTTTTACAAAAATGTGATGAAAACAATTGTGACCAAAAGGTGCGAGTTTATATTCAAAGTTCTCATGACAAATCATGAATTATTCATGAAATGACGTTTCAAGAGGCAAGATATAAAAGTTGATTGGTGGAGAGACAGTGAATTTAATTTATAAGTTGAATATTCATAGATTTTCAATTCACAATTTTTATTACTGACAGTGCATATTGGTGCCTTTTAAGTTATTTTTTCGGGGCAAAATTTCATTAAAATAGAAAAACATGAATTTTTTTTTAAAGTTGCGAGATTTAACTTAAGCTCAGTGTTTTTATGTCATGAAATGGTAATTTTTTTCTTAAAACTTGATGGTTATCATTAACTGATTTCTGCAAACCAAGATGCACAAAAACAAAACATGCGTGCAAACCACATGCAAACAAAATGCAAATCAACTCATGCAGATGCCTGGCTGCAAGCGCAGAACAGATTAATTGTTTTGGGCAAATCTCAACACCCTTGATTCTCTGTTAACTGCAAATCACAACCAGGCATATTAATACTAGGTGGTCTGGGATCCTGACTGTCCTATAACACAGACAGTGAAGTTACGATTGTGGGGTCCAAACCTTGGTTTTATTTTTTCAGGCAACAGCTTCATTTCTCGCTATAGAAGTATTAAGAAGCCGTCAATGACAAATCCAAAATGAAGATACTCTCAAATTTGGCCTTATTTTAAAGGATATGAAGTTCGTAAAGCAGAACACGGACCTATATTGATCTGGAGTATATCTTAAATCATGGGCCTATGCTCCTGAAGACGGACAAGAAGTCAGATTTGGAAAGCCCAATGATACGGCAGTTACTGAACAGTCTCAAAATGCACCGATCAGACAATGGACCTATTTGCTTTGCACAGATCATCTGGATCTGTGATCCGTCGGCTTGTCTTGCTCCGATCTTAATTAGGATCACAGATCTCAGGGATGTACAAGATCTCAGCGCGAGATTCAAAATGGCGACATGCGAAATGGTGTTCAACGTTAACCGTCTCCATGTTTGCTTTTGGCTTGTCAGGTGACTTAAGATCCAGATCAGGTGCAGTTTTGTTTGTTACAGCACAGTCTTCATTCCATGGCTTCGGATTTGGATCCATATTGAACCAAACGCACAAACGGATGCCAATGCTTGGATTACAGACCACCTATGGACATGTGATTTTCACTACGCAGTCAGGCTGACTGAGAGCTCATGGCTATGTTCTCTCTGATGAGCAACGTTGGAAAGGAATCAGAAGGGTTTTTTCCTATTTGCCCCAGAGGAAGCTGCTGGACAGTTTTGAGAACTTTCTTATCATGCAACAGGAAAAGGAGAAAAGTTAAAGTTCTTGTCGACCGGAAAGGGTAGATATTTAGCAGCTGAATAATTATGCTGTTCTACTAGAGGTACCAGGGTATTGCTACATGTAGCTATTTCGAATTGAGGGGAAGGATTTGCAAACTGCAGAGCACCCGACTTAGCTCATAGCAGCAAGTTTAGTAGCTGCACGAAAGTGAAGATCAAGCTCCAGGAATTAGAAGTTATGTCAAGTTTAGGAACTTTTTTTGGGGGGGGGGGGGGCAGGGGAGGATTAGAAGTTTCCTGTGAAAAATCCTCTACAGTGAATGCATGGATCAGAATTACAGATTGCTTGGAGGAAATGTCAAGAACACTGCGACAAAAAAAATGTGAGTTGGCTCTGCGAGATATCGCAAGAGAGAGTGAGAGAGCTCCGCGATCAGCCTGGCAGTGAAGTGACGTCAAACATAAAGAGTGTGTAGGGGTTTCAGTTATTGAAACATGCAAAAGTGGTGGTTATGTTAGATGGTTAATGGTATTATGTGGCATCGGGGAGACTGTTTCAAAGCAACCACTTTGGTGCATAGATTTATTCCCATATTTACAAGTGTCAACAAATACACTTTGAAAAATTTTTTGAGTTTGACCGCATCGCACTGGAATTCTCAAAATGCTAGTTTCTTCAATTTTTTTTTTTCGACAACTGTGCCCAATGTTCAGCATTACTGATCAGCGTGACAGATCATCATGCTCATTGTATGAATCTCTTTTCCTTCATCGGAATAAGTCCTATCAAGAATTGTCACCAGTTTCATGACGTTCCACCAGCATTTCTTGACAAAATCTGGCACTGCACCACACTTGGTCTTCTGTGTTATTGTTGGACTGTATAGTTTTTTTTTTAAAAACCTTGAGGTTGTAACAAACAGTCTCCCTTCAACCGCAAATGGAGCTGGCCTGGGGGTGGGGTGTTTGACAACACCAAAGCATGCACGAGGGGTTTGGGAATGGGCAGTGGGGGTGGGGGTTGTCCATACTTACCACAGTCAGCCTCCTCCTCGTTGCTTACAACCGTGACTTCCCCATCCTCGTGGATTATATCCTGGAACATTTCTGCCTTGGCATAGCACAGCCTCGGGTTTAACTTGATATTGACGCTACCAAACTCAATGGATTGCAAACTGACGAGATTGAGAGACCGCACAGTCGAGGACATGACCGACAAGGAGTGTTTGCTATCGGAACGACAATGCATTCATGCGGCCAACGGGGGTAACGTTCGGGAAAACAAAGACATTCAAGGGTTAGTAATACATCATTCAACATGCAATCTTTCTTGTAATCCACTGGCAACCTCTGCTGTATCACGATTCCTGCAACATTCCCCACTGAGGTGCAAACATGCTTCAAGTAATAACTGCCGAGTTGGGACATTATAAAAAAGTAAAACTGTTCCTGAATCACAGTGTGTGATTTCTAGATCAGCTTCAGTTTCTGATGATTTTATGGTATTACAGTTTTTTATGCTTTTTATAAATGGCATCTCTTTCTCCCGATTAAGAATTGTTCTGTACTTCAGAAATGAACGTTGCAAGAATCTTGATACAATCCAGGAATTTCAACCGACCAACTCCCCCGAGGTGCCAGGAAGATGCCATGCCAGTGGTGCATGCGAAGAGGGGGAGTACTTACTGCACTCTTGCCGAGGTTTATTGGCATAAAACTCCACACTTTGACGTCCGGGCTGTTTCACAATACTTTCCCACATGCCTTCGGCGGCATAGCACAACGCGGGGTTCTCATAAAAGAGAACGTTCCCCTTGTTGATGCGCTCCAGGGACGTCATACCCAGCGACTCGATAGAGTCGCTGTTAATGAACAGCGAATACTGCTTGGGTCCATCGATGCTGGAAAAGTGTGGAGGTGGTAGGGTGGGTACAAAATGATCAGACATATTGCTGTAAGGAATCAGGGTGATACTGCATTTGTCATTCCGATTATTATACCTGTAATTCTGTCCATATAGTTTTCCGTAACTTTTTTTTTTCTCTCCAAATGATGTATACATTTCTCATCCATCTTAATCTCCATTTCCACAGTCACTCCTATCCACACCCTTAACCCTGAACTCCCAGTTTCATCTTTGCTACAAACCTCCTGATTCCTACGAAATCCACAACTTAGAGAATCCAATGGAAGGTTATCTTCAAGCAAACTTGAATCCTCGTTCATGATTGGTCGATCCATGGCAACAACAGTGTGGTGTAATCCTAAATACCATGGTGCGTATCGCACCCTGTGTATCGTGCTACATGTATTCTAAGATACTGTATGCACACCATTCCTGCTATATATATGCTTCATGCATGTGTAATAGATAACCGCTGCTAAATTTGTGAGTGCGCCAATTCGGGCGATTCACAATGCAGTGCGCCACCAAGAGTTTGCCATGGAGAGTCCATTTTTCCAGTTTACAGTCGACAAAACATGGCCCATTTGGGTGAGTGTCAGTAGACAACTTGAATTAATTTGTTATAGATTGGGGCATAGTGTTCTGCCGCCTCACAAAAAAAAAACACATTGATAAGAAAACAAAAGAGCAAACAGATACTCAGAGCATACCTTTACCAAACTACGGACTGGTAAAACTAACAATTTCAAATGTCCCGCGCTGTGAATTTGTTGACCATCTCCCACAATGCACTGGGAAAAATGAACTCTTCGTGGCAAACTCTTGGTGGTGCACTGCATTGTGAATCGCCCGAATTTCACTTGAAGATAAATTTGTTATCCAGCTCGTGGAACATGGAAAATGTAGTGCGTCTGTGTTCCCTATGCCACTTGGCCTTTTGCGTCATGGCATAAGTGGTGTGCATCTACGAGTAGTTTTGCAGCCGGGTACTCTACTGAAGTATAACACAGACACCTGGGTATCCATAAAAGTAGCCCCACCCCAAATGTTGTATCCCGGAAGTTGCTCTTCAAATTGTTGATAAAGGTGAGCCACAAAAACGGTACCACATCGGTGCATCAATCAACAAGATACTGGTACAAGTGTGTACAATTTGGGCTGAAGGAGATGTAATTTTAAAATGCCCAGAAACATGAAAATCATTTTGGGGTCTTGTTTTTATTCTTAAATAAGTCCCCACAAATGGCATTCAGAACCTTTCTTTTTCATTGTCTGAGAAATTACCAAGTAATTTGGAAACTTCGTTACGGGTACCCGATCCCATGATCTGGAACCGGTTCCTGACATCAGCGGTCGGGAACTCTGGTGCCCGGTTCCGATGAATGCCCCCCAAGTGGATTTTTTTAGGATCTAATTGGAGGGCGAGGGTTAAGGTACAACGTAAACCCAACTTTGCATCTTCCCAAATGCATATTACCGCTAACTCAGTCCACTGCTTGCCTAGCATTAATTTGTAAACCTCAATTTCTTGAGTCAATTTTGGCAGGTAAGTTATTTTTTTACCATGCCATTTTTTTCTAGTCCTATACCAATTTTTCTGAGAAGCAGTTCTACGGGAATCCGTTTCCAACTATCTGCTTTCTCACATGATGTCACTCATTAAATTTATGTGGAATTGTCTGGAAAGTTCTTCACCAAAAAAAAAAATTGTTCATCACAAAATACTACCTTGGCATCCTCGCATTCTCATATTTTTGGAATTCGTGACAATCGCATCTCATGCACTCTCTCTTAACGTTCAGAAACGTATTCAACACAAATACAATATTTTGTTAACATTAAAGTTGCCAGCTCTCATTTCTTTGCCTCCACAAAACTGTGGCTTGTCCTTACCCATACAACTTCCGCCCGTAGATCTTCTTGACGTTGCGCAGGAAGGTGAGGTTATTGAAGTGGTCGTGATGGCCCTGCACGGTCACGAAGCCTTTAATCTCCTGCACTGTGCTCAGCCGCTCCAGCAAATCCAGGGTTATGCCTTGCTTCCCCAAAAATATATCCCTGCAGAAATATCCGATGAGACGTTTTTTTCTCAGATCAGAGATAAGCCCCAGTCACACATTTTATGGTTTGGAGCTACGAATAATCCACGGTTTACCAAGAATCAATCGATCATGATGAACCGTCAAGATTCGTGGAGAACTCAACATTCTAAGAATGCACTGCAGTTTCAGGACGGATAGCCACGACTGTCCTACAGTTTCTGTATGAATACATCACGGTTTGTCAAGAATATGGACGGATCGGTGAAGAATATCGACGGTATTACGTTAACGCCACGGTTGTCTCGATTGGGCCAAGGATGACCAAGGTTCTCCGTAGCGAATTTGTAGAGATTTCTACCACGAATGAGCTACGAATCTCCAAGAATATGTATGAATAGCCACGAATGGAGTACCGAAGTGAATACGTCACGCGCACAAAATGTGTGTAAAAGACATTAGCAAGTGATTCAGCCCGCGAACCAACACGCGCGCGTACTCCATTCGTTTGCACTACACTTTCTGGTTCTAAATGACGTCACACTTCGGTACTCCATAACACTACCAATCAGTACGGTTGTCCTACCAATGTCTCACGGTTGCACTACGGATTGATTTTCATGACGTCTCAACACGGAAGTTTTGAACAGTTTAAAACACGAATACGCAAGGAAGATGACGGATAACCACGGAGGTACATTTGTACTAAGGATGAATACGGTATTCCCACGGTTTATCAAGAATTTCAAACCGTGGAGATCTGTAGCTCCAAACCGTAAATGTGTGACTGGGATTTAGCTAACACCGCTTTAGACTTGAATGCCCTCCTGCAGTGCTGTAGTCGAGTCCGTCACAAGTCCATCACCAGTCTGGTCAAAAGTAAATCACAAAATCTTCTCAAAATTTCAGTCCCCAAGAACCGTGGAATTCTTTTTTCACATTTTGTTTGAATAGCTTGTGATTTGACGCTGGAGGGACTGGTGACGGATTCCACTACAACACTGCCTTCGCAGTCTTTCAACTTTTGGTTTCTATTTTGCCTGATCGAGAAAACCAATCATGTTTTAGTTGGTCAACTTTCAGGAGGGATCATGAAATCAGATGCAGAACATTGAAGGAAGAGGTTTCTACGAATGTCCAAAAATTACCCTTCAAATGAAGCGGTGCCAATGAAGATGTTATTCCTGATGATGGTACAGTTGGATAGCGATCCGTTGTTAAAATCTTCCTTGAATATTGCTTCTTCTGGGCCATCACAGACTGCAGGATCAAAAAGGAACATTTTGACGAATAAATGAATTCTTGAAAAATCACAATGCAAAATAATATTATTGACCTTTGTAATGCTCTCACCACACGCCCTGACGACTCATAAATTGACACAGCTAGGCCAGAGGCAGGGGTGATGTATAGTCAAAGGTGTGTGAAACCCCTTAAAGGTATAGTCCATCATTTGTAATTTGTGCATTTTGTTCGTTTGAAGCAACAAAAGTGCCCGAGATCTAAAGAAGGGTGCCGAACAACTAACCTGATGAAGTTTCAGCTCAGCTTTAGCTGTATATTTCGAGAAAAACAACATTCTAGGGTCTCGATTTCAAATCAGAAGTTGCTGAATCATGTTTTGAATTGGGCCTGAATTCAGCGTCCAAGACACGTTCTCACTGAGCCGAATGCAGCTCTACGCGATGTCGCGCACTGATCCGACGAATTATAGCAACCACGCGCGCATGTGCGTCGTGCCAATGCTTGCGCGTGCTTTGCCGAATAACAAAACGAACAACTAATTTAAATTTTCCTACGGTGCTTCTTAAGAAGCACCGTTGGAAATGCCTTCTTTCGTTGATTTCTTCAAAATGCCAGCTTGCCAGAAAGAATAATTTCACAGGGAGTTTAGTCCCCTTACTATCTTTCAACCAAGTATGTTTTTCAACAATAATTTAACAGTTACTTTTTGGATAGCTGCAAATGATGGACTCTGGCTTTAAGTTCCTAGCGCATGACATACCACCTGACTATTACATTACCACACATCATCTTGCCTCAGTGTAAAAAAGATCCATAAACCAACTCCACAAATTGCAATTTTTTGTCAAGTATTTAATGTATTTGGTTTGCTTTTATTGGACAGTTACAATTTGGTACTTACAGTTTTATGGGTGAGTTAGGGGGTTCGGGGGTTTTTTTTGGGGGGGGGGGGGGGGCACGAACCGACCAACTCACCCGAGTGACTTGTAGAGGCTCCATTGCCAGAGCTTACAAATATTCAAGCGAAGCGAATATCCCCCGTCACTGAATTATGGATTTTTTTTAAGAACAAGAAAAACAGAAAACTGCCCCTTTCTGCACTCTATTGCGCTGAACAAAATATTACGTGCAAACGTACAGAGTGATACAATACAATATTATTTAGGTGTAAATTAAGAGAAGGATGATCTTACATGAAAATCTGAAACGAAATTTGCTGCTTGCTGTTGGCACCGTTTTTAGTGCAACATCACCGGAAAAATTGTAATATAATGCTAATAAAATAAAAGCAAAAGATTTTCAGAGTCTCACAGCAAAACTTTACGGATATACCGGTACATGTGCCATGAACCCAAACTAGTAACGTTTAAATCGTGGGTCATCCTAACATACCTTTGGGGCACGGACCATCACATGGAACACATTTGTTGTCGCCCGGTACGCTGCTTTCAATCATTCCTGTACCGCACTCATTGATACAGTTGTCACCTTCGCGTAGGACATTATCTGCTCAAATTTAAACAAAACAAAAAAATTAACAAATTTCCCTTTCTCGTTTTTTATATCCATTGTTAGATACATTAACTATGGGCTCCGTGGGGGGGGGGGGGGGTGTGGCCTAGTGGTTAGGGTTTGTGACTCATGATCAAAGGGTCAGGGGTTCAAATCCAGCTGCTAGTCATATGTTGTGTCCTTGGGCAAGCCACTTCATCCCCACTTACCTCTCTCCACCCAGGAGTATAAATGGGTAGCGGCATTAGCTGGGGAGCAACCTGCGATGGACTAGCATCCCATCATGGGGAATATTCTCAGTCGTTTCATGGCACTTAAACCGTGGATAAACGCCAGCCTGATTGGGCCACATTGTCTCATGACAGTTACTTTACTTATGGGCTCCATGTGACATATGGATCATCAGACACTATCGTCGAACGCCTTGACTAACGCTAGGATATTATATGAGATGACCCCTGTACCTGGGCATTGGAGCAAACACCTAGAGCCATAGGCGTATCTGAAGTCTGGATTGGGTTCATTCTGGTACGTCTCGGGGTTGTATAAGGTGCTGGGTGGGCAGGCTTCCACGCACTGGTCATCCATGGTGAACTTCAGACAAGCCTGAAATCAACGGAATACACAGTCAGGGTTAGAACCCACTACCTCCCGATCTCAAGTCAAGTAGCCTAACCGGTACACGATACTTACCAGGCATTCTTTGTTGCTCGGCCCAGTACAGCCACTAGCACAGCTTCTGTGGCAGCAGTCGGCCTGCGTTGGTCCCCGGCAGCGATAGTCACAGGTCCCACTGCAATTCTTGCGAGTCACTGGCAAGAAAAACGCATATTATAAAGAATCCTAATGTCCTGATCAAAAGAAAATGTGTAAGAGTTGATACCTTCTCCAAAAACAGCAATTGTCTCTTGCAGTTTTTCTGTAAAGGGTATCGATATGGGCTCCTTGCACCAACAAAACAGGGCGCGTTTTTACCATTTGAGAGCTCCGTGGACAGGACACACAGCATGCGCGCGTACTGTACTACTGGTTCGCGGGCCAAGTACGCACAACTTCCTGAATGTGCAAAAGCTGTAGCCTCCGCGTCTTCGCGTGAGCATCAGGAGTTGTCAGAGCGCGAATACATTCAAATTCAACTGGCAATGGTCTCCGAAACTATTACTGCCTCCAAAAACTTTGGATACATTCGAAATACGCAGTGGATGGATCGGGAACCAGTCTAGGTCACCCCCAACTCTCCTGATACTGGTGCACAGAGCCCATACACACCGAAAACTCAATTTCATCATATTAAAGCTAGAGTCCATCATTTGCAGCCATCCGAAAAGTAACTGGCGTAATTAATGTTGAAAAACAAACTTGGTTGAAAGATAGTAAGGGAAATAAATTCCCTGTGAAATTATTCTTTCTGGGAAGCTGTCATTTTGAAGTAATCAAGGAAAGAAGGCATTTCCAACGGTGATTCTTAAGAAGCACCGTAGGAAAATTTAAATTAGTAGTTCGTTTTGTTATTCAGCGCAGCGCGCACAAGTATTGGAACGACGCACATGCGCACGCGGTTGTTGTAATTCGTCAGATCACTGCGCGACGTCGCATATAGCTGCAATTCAAAACAATTCAAAACATGATTCAGTAACTTTTGATTTGAAATTGAGATCTTAGAATGCTGTTTTTCTCGGAATGTACAGCTGAAGCTTAGCTGAAACTTCATCAGGTTAGTTGCTCAGTATCCTTCATTAGATTTTGAACTCTTTTGTTGCTTCAAACGAACAAAATGCACAAATTACAAATGATGGACTGTAGCTTTAAACCTCGTAAAAAAAAAGTGGCAATCCGTGTCGCAAATAAAATAAAATAGTAACAGTAAAAAACTAAAGATTGGCATTACAGAAAAGGATTTGGACAACTATAATCAGCTCTGTGTACATGTACCGATACATCTCAATCAAATGTGAATCCACTACCTGGGCCCAGTTTCATAGAGCTGCTTAAGCAAAAAATTTGCTTAAGTACGAAAAAACATTGCTTAGTAAAACTAGGTTACCTGCCAAAACTCCATGTGATGTACATTGCTTGTGACCGGTATTTAGCTGTTGTTTACTTAGCATAACAATCGCATGGAGTTTTGGCCAGTAACCTGATGTTATTAAGCAAGACGTTTTTGTGCTTAAGCAAATTTTGTGCTTAGTAAGCAGCTCTATGAAATTGGCCCCAGATTGTCTACTTACATTCTTGGCACATATCAGGTCCAGGACCCCAGCATCCTCCAGGGCAATTGGGTGCACAAACATGCTCTGTCAGGACGGTAATCAAAAAAAGCTTGAGAATTTCATCTTTGCAATGTTATTTTACTACTTAATACTTAAAACAGCCAATAATTAGAAATTGTTAAGTAAAAATTCAATAACTTAAAGGGAAAATACAACATTTGCAAACATCAAAAAATAAAACTACCAAATCGTTTTGGAATACATTGCTGGACTGTTAGTGAATGACAGTGTAAAGCGTCCTGTAAAATCATGGCACCTGGTATATTGTCATTTTCAAGAAAAGTGGTATTTTTGTATCAATTTCCAACGCTGATCGGCCGATCAGCGTTGGAAAAACTGGCTTTTTTTTCAAATACTGGCCCCAATTGACCATCGCACTTGTTTGCAATCGATTACAAACCTATGAACGGTTACGAGCCAGCTAGACTGGTTCCCCGACCTTACAATTCCCCAATGTATGTAAACTGCTCTGTTTCTTCTTATATGGAGTCAGGGAACCAGACTACAGGAAAATGATTGTTTTTCTTGGTTTTTATAGCATTTTCGAACCCAAAACCTCAAAAAAGTCAGTGTAACTATATTGGCTATATATTTCCAACCCCCCAATTCCATCCATTTCTGAAAATTACAGCAAAAGCAAATGATGTATATTCCCTTTAACATGGGGTGATGTTTTTTTCTTCAGGTGATGTTTCATTCAAAAGTGAATAACTTTTGCATTGATAGAAACACTCTGGCTGAAATTCAAGAAATAGCACGGGAATGCTTACACATGTTATTTCTGTTAGAAATTGGCTTCAAACTTTAAACTTACCCTCTGTGCAGGAGCCGCCATGATCTGAAAACCAGGGAACAAGATCCTCACGTATGTCGCTCCAGTCGATAGTACGAACGTAACACAGGTCACGATTATCCTCAAACTTGACATCCCCTTTTATGATCTCTGCGACAGAGAATGAGAACACTACCAACACTTAAACCTATGTTTCCCGAATCAATACTACATGTATGAGGTCTTTTGAATCATGTCGATGTAAGAATAGTAATAAAAACAACTAATTTGGCCCTACCTACTAGCCAGTAGAATATGTGGTCTGTGATGTCGTGACGTCACGCTGACAGACAACCGTGGGGCAACCCAAACTAAAGCATCTTACAAAAAAACGAAACCCAAATATGCATATATGGGCCCCCACAATCCCACTGACTTTATACACCGAATCCCACATGTCAGCAAATGAGCAACGCATGTCAACAAGCAGACTTTGAGTGCTCTTCACACTCACCCCTCCTTGCAGATCAGCCTCACAGCGAACTCTACAGTTTGAAATGGAGGTCATACCACTTGTACTCACCATGCAGCATTGGCATCTGCAACTGCCGCAGTCCAACCGTGGGCAGCCTGTTGTGGTAGGTGGTGGCCACGTAGAGCGCCAGGTTTCCCTCGTACAGCTCCGTGCCACGGATCACGCGAAGGTTAGGCAAGGAGATCATCTCAGAGTAGATCAGGATAATCAAGACGTAACCCGTCACCTCCTTGATTTCGCTGAGAAAGGACAAGTCATAGTGTGTCTGGCGCAGGAACTTCACCTCTAAGTTCCCGTCCACATATGTGCAACCTGTCAACGCAGAGAGACAGAGAGAAGTTAGAAAACAATGCCCTGTGCATAGCCAGTGTTGTAGATAGAGACCATCACATGGCCTAAGTTACGCACTGTTTCATGAAATCAGCTGCTGACCTCATTTTAAATATTCTGGGATGCAAAAAGGTAGAGGGGATGGGAGGACAAAATTCCTGATTTTTTTAAAATAGAAGGGCAAATAACCTCTTCTGTCACCAATATTTTCTTAGTTTTATAACAAAACGTTCCTACTGCCATTTACGAATGTTAACATTAGCGTACCTTCAAACCGTTCCTTCAGGGACTGGTAGATCAAATCGTCATTCTCAAACTCGGTGTTACTGGATACCCCGTTGCCATTTCCAGTGCACACTGCACAAAGATAAAAAGAAACGAGAGAGGGAAATTAGTTTCACACTTTTACACACACTGGTAACAAAAATGTCAAAACCCTTTTCAACATTTATTCATCCATAACCGTCACACTGTATTACACTAGAGATTCAACATTTGGGATTTGTCTTCATCAATGAAATTTCACTCATAAATACTGAGACAGTTTATCCATTCCTATTGGTTGAGAGCCTGTCACATGGGTGGTGTAAACTGCCGGTAAAACACCGGTCGGTGTTTAAACAGCGATGTTTAAAACTGGTTGCCAGCACCCACACTGCGCGCCACATGCGCGCAGTAAGTGCCGCGCGCTCCGCCGGCTCGAGAGCACTGATATGATCTCCATATAAGGAGAGATATCCTCACGCGCCACGGGAACCCTAGAAAAGTCCCGGACACGGAGTAAAATGGTAGATTACATGTAACACAACTTGTCAGAAATTGGTCAACTTTTCAACTTTTTTATGGTCTTGTAACCAAAAACGGTAAATGGGGATAATATTGTGATGTCTTCAATTGGTTAGGGGCCTTGTCGCCAATATTAACCCTCGTCTTCGTCTCAGGCCTTTATCGTCGACCACGCCCCTACAGGTTTTAAACCACACGTTTATAACTGCCCCAGTACGCTATTTATCCCCTTATTTTACATAACAGATGATGAATCATCACATGACGCCAAGCCGTAAGAAATCAACGCTCGTCCACAAATACTGTGAACATCTGAAGTTCTGCAATGGGTTCAGGGGCATGTTGGACTCATGTCCCACATACCAGATGTTATCACTGAATCATCAACTTCAGACGTCCGTGTGCATGAGTTAACTTCTTCGGGGAGGAGTGTTGAATGGAGGTCAAGCAGTACAGGGTGGATGACCTCCATGTTAACAGGAGATGCACATCACTGAGTATAACTACCGGTTTGTAACACACACTTCAATGCACATGAGGGGGACATTTGCCATATCAATTATCTCATAATTCATCAAACTCCATAATGACTTCACGGATGCCTAGACATGAGGTACTGCTTTCCAACAATACACTTTCACTTGCACTGAATTAACGGCTGGCAAATTTGGCTCTGGAGAGAATGTTGCATTCTGACGCCACTTTTGTCATCATATACAGTACATGTACATACAGGGTGTCATCTATTAAAATGGAGGTCAGTCATTGCAAAAATGTTGAAAAGACATGAATCTGGGACTGAGAAACATTTCTAATTTTGTCAGAAAATAATCTAAAAATGCACTCAAACTCTCCATAGACTTTGTACACAACAACAGAAGAGGAATCTGGCTTAGTACTGCATTCTTTCAGAGTTTTCCGTAAGGTTCAAAACCATGAAGACGGGGAATAGAATAAGAATATGCAGACCAAATGACCTACAGTTTGTGCTGCAACAACACTCAGAAAGCACTTTACAATCCATTACAAAATACATTTGTGTAAATATTGTAAATGGTCAGGGATTGTCCAGCCTGGATCCAAGGTTTCAGCCTGTAAAATGATGTAAGTTGCAAGACGTGTCGTCAACTAAATTGAAAACGTATGAAATGTCTTCACTGTAACGCACTACAAACTGTATCTATTGCACAAAATCCAAATCTTTTGCCTGCATCTTCTCAATATGAAACAACAGAGGGCGCCCCAGTAGATCCATTCAAGTCAATACACACACACAAAAAGTTATGAAATGATGACCTCGCTCTGAGGCGGGGAATTATTAAAGGACAATATTTATTGGCAAAACAATTTCTCCAGCGAGTGTTTAAACAAACCCATCTGGTCTCAACGGAGCGCGCACGAGGACTTTAGCCTGGCGTTTCCCCCATATGTGGGTTTGATTATAAATATAAATTGCAATTACAATTTATCAAGCAAGGCTGATTTTCAAGACGAAAAAAAATTGTTAACGTGTGCAGGAAGTGTACTCTTCAGCAGCCTTTAGCGAAGATAAATCAACCTCATGTGCATACGCTGGTGTTTGTGTGGAGCCTGTGCATTTTCCCAGGGGTGTTGTCCAAAATGTACAATTCATTGGTTTAAAATTGTATTGCGACTTCTTTTTTTTATCATGCCTGGAGTAAACTCAATACGTGTACAGATGTAGCAGTCCTGTAACTCGCTCCGTCTTACATGTATATATTTATTTAATTGGAATTAAAGATTCTGCTTTAGATTTGTGTTTGGTAGGTTGCAGGTTCATATTTCTGGGTGTTTTTATTTTCCCCTCCACCCAAATGTACCTTAGGCCAAAAAAAAAAAGTCTCCGGTTTCTGGTATGGAGCTTGCCCAAAAAGTGGTACGGCGACGCAGCTTCTTTATTTTTATCTGATTTTTTTGCTTCAAATGTCGGCTGATGACTGCAAATAGTGCCCGACTAAACTTAGTGCAAATATATGGGAGTCCAGAGAGGCCACATAAAGCTTATTCTCGACCATAACCCAATCTAAAAACACGTTAAAATTGTGCAGCAGCAGGATTCCAGTCAAACCAGTGACTTTGGCAGTTTTGAGACATCATCAATAATGAGACATTCATTGAAAAAAAAACTTTTTCATTTTGCCGACGCGCATGGCTACGGCGATGCGCGCGCATACCAGAAACCGGAGACTTTTTTTTTTGGCCTTACGTTGACTACAAATGTTACTACTACGCATGTAGTTATTTTCCCTTTGAGATTTTTTGTTATTTAAAGCTACAGTCCATCATTTGCAGCTATCCAAAAGGTAACTGACATAATTAGTGTTGAAAAACATACTTGGTTGAACGATAGTAAAGGGGACTAAACTCCCTGTGAAATTGCTCTTTCTGGCAAGCTGTCATTTTGAAGAAATCAACGAAAGAAGGCCTTTCAAACGGTGCTTCTTAAGACGCACCGTTGGAGTTTCCGTTAGTACATGTAGTTTGTTTTTTTATTCGGCGAAGTGCGCGCAAGCATTGGCACCACGCATGGGCGAGCAGTTGCCATAATTCGTCGAATCAGTGCGCCACATCACGTAGCTGCAATCGGCTCAATGAGGACGCGTCTCGGACGCTGAATTCAGGCCCAATTCAAATTTCAAAACATGATTCAGCAACTTTTGATTTGAAATCGCGATCCTAGAATGCTGTTTTTCTCGGAATGTACAGCTGAAGCTGAGCTGAAACTTCATCAGGTTAGTTGTTCAGCACCCTTCTTTAGATTTTGAGCAAGTTTGTTGCTTCAAACGAACAAAATGCACAAATTACAAATGATGGACTATATAACTTTAACTATTATAACTCATTAAATTGTAATGGCTACACTTTGTACATGTAGCAACGTTGAACGATCCCCTCAACTTCCATTAATCTGATTCTGAAATATCAAAAAGGCTCAAGTGCATGTACTTCAAACAAATTGAACAGCCAAAAATTGTTTCAGTTGTACAATGTATTTGAGAAAGAAAACAGGCGTGCTTTCTATAAAATATGACTAATCTTTATTACCGAATAAAACAAAACAAAACAAGACATGTGTATAGTTTCAAGTAGTTGGAGTAGGGCACTTGACGTGTACACCACATCAAGATACAAGTTTGTCATGAGAATTCTTTATGATCAACCATTACAAAAAATGCTTGGCATACTGCAAAAACAATCTGCCCAGTTAAGATTACGAACTGTGATAGCTGAACGCCACTAGATTCAATTGGCTGTAGTCAATGAACAGCAGTTCAAAAGTTAGTCTCTGCTTCACGCAGCACGTAATCAAATTTCCAACGGTGTGGCCAACCTGTCCCCGATTTCGCAGATATTTTTGGAAATCCCGCTGGGCGATCTCTAAGAACTTCACAGCTTTGCTGCTGAAGATCAAGCCACTCCGCACAAATTTCAACCCCGACAAATCTAGGTAATCAATCTTCACAAATCCAAATCTCAGCAGGATCTATTAAAAAAAACAATTTACAAACCATCAATGACGGAAAACGGTAAACTTTCACCACACACTGGGCTTCCAAGAGAACAACAATTACATTACTAGTCAGCAATACAAGGTTTCTCCATACAAAGCAGCCATTCACAGTGCTCCATAATGGCCGAATTAGCGAAATCACTTGAAGCCAATTCATATTTGAATTGGAGCATTTACCCATTGACATATTAGACGTTTGAAAACTGTGACTTCCATTTTAGGGGAAATGCGGAAGAACCCGCTGTGAGAATTGACTTAAGTGGCTTTGGAGCAACAAGAACCCAGCATGATAGTTGTAGCTTGGTGTTGCATGTACGCACTTACATCCTCCACACGTGTACAAATATACAGGGAGCATGGACTTTTTACTTTTTACATTGACCCACTGTAACAGCTACAAATTGCATTCCTTGAAGACAAGAAACTGATTAGCTTGACCGATTACGTTAACTACTTAATGTTCTAATTTTGCCTAATCAAAGAAATTAATTTCAAAGTCCTTTGAAGTGTACAGTAAGATTTTTTTTTTTTTGTAAAGTGCCCCCAAATAAGAAAATGTTTTCTTTGCAAATTCATGAATTCTGCTAGATACCGGTACATGTACACATACATGTACGAGTGAGATGTAATAATGGTTTTTCGTAACTTGTCAACTTCCA